GCATAGTATTTGGATTTGACCAGCTCGTCGAAGAGCGCCTGTGCATTAGGCAGTGGATGGGCATCGGGAATGGTGAATGAATTGAGATAGCGGTAATCTTGTATTAACCGCTTCTTGCCATCCTTCTTTGCCACGAAAAAGACCAGTGCTGCTTGCGGCGAAGTCAAGGGTCGAATCTTCTTGCACTTCAAGTTTTCGTCAAGGAATTCATCGAGGACCTTCAGTTCCTCGGGCAACATGGGATATACCGAAGCTTTCTTGGGTTTGAAATCCTCTTTTAGGCGGATTTCATGGTCCAAACCAGGTCGATGGACCGGTAGCAGGATATCCTCTTCTGAAAACACTTGAGCGAATTCTTGATACTCCCTCGGAAGTATTACTTCCTCCTTAGTCGAGGATAGGGTGGCCTCAAGTTCTGTAGACAAAGTTGTTTTGTTAATCGCACTTACCGCCGGTTCTTCCTTGATTGAACCGTCCTTGTTGAATTTTACGGCATACCCTTCGTAGTAGGGAACCTGACTGTTAATGTAAATGTCAGTTTCTCGGGTAGGCACAAACCCATCATCCCAACACGAGATCTTGTTATTCTCCCAATCCATTCTTGGTTTGTAGAATCGAAGGAACGGCATTCCCAAAAGGATGTGTTCCTTTCTGACCAATGGACCGACATAACACTTGATCCGTATGACACGATTTTTGATGATGATTCGTATTGCGACCTTCCGAGTTACCCATTCGACATCCTTTCCCGTGAATGAAGTGGTCTTGAACCGAGTCTTGATGCGGTAAGTCGGGATTTTCAATTTTTGAACAATTCGCTCCGAGATGAGCAACACCTCTGCACCCGAGTCGATGCAGACCATTACTCCTGCCTTGTAATCCAGCAACCAGACTCTTCCCAGAGGAGAACCAGCTCGCATTGTTGATTCATCATCTGTGGTAGTAGTACAAATAGCGGATAACACAGAAATGGGACCTACGTGAGGAGTTGCCGCGGTCCCATTTAAAAATTTACCCCATGCGCCTTCATCTCATCATCTGTTGCCAGACGATCTCCTACGTAAGCGGTCTTCGATCCATCAGAGGAAAGAACGACCCAAACGCCAGGTAAGGGCTTGGGTTTCTGGGATTTACAGTCACGCTTGAAGTGACCCTTTGCTCCGCATTCGAAGCACGTTACGTTTTCATTTGATCGGCATACGTTTCGCCTTCTTTTGTCGACATCCATCGCATCAGGATCTCGGGAGTTTCTGCGATAGTGGATAAACTTTCGCTCGTACCGGGACTCTTTTCCTTCAAGGATATGTTTGGTCGCGATCGCCGTTCTAGCCTCTCCTGCGCACTGGATCCACTCGATAACTGTGGAAGGCGTGCGCCCTGAGTTGAGAACCCATTCGCGGTATTCCTTGTTGAGTCCCTTCCCGAAGAAGATCCCTGCTTCTCGTGACTCTTCTTTGAGTTGGGCCTTGTTAACCAACCCCGTAAACTCGGCAATATACGCTTCCAATTCTCTTTTCCCTTGCAAGATGTCGGAGAGCTGTAAGATAGCAAGTGTGGTCTGATCGCCGGATTCGAAAGTAGCTTTAAGACGTTCGACAAACCTCTGGAATGTGTTGGAATACCAGATGGTTCTGTCTAGAAGCTTGTTCTCGTTTTGATAATTCTCGGTGAACGACATGGCGGCTCCCTTTGTCATATATGTGAGGGCAAAAGAAATCTTGAGCGATTCTGTGTTGTAGACATGTTTGTTAAGGTTAAGATAACCTTCCACTTGGGTAACCCAAGTCTGAAGCCCATTGTGGCTTCCGTCGTATTCTCCGGGATGCCCGACATTAAATTCCCGACCTCCGTTGGGTGGGCGGACATCATACAAGTCATCGCCATCTTCGGCTGGGGCCTTACCCTTACTGGACCCACCAACGGGGCCCTCTGGGGGAATTACCTTTCTGAAGTTCCTGGCGTACCAAGCTCGTAGAGCCAAGTCCATGGGCGTACCTGTTGGGAAGGGATCACTCGACTGACCTTGACCAGCAATCTTGCGCCAGTCCTCTGCCAAAGAGTGCATCTGTCTTTCCAACTTCTCCTTCAGCTCCACTTCGGAGTATACCTTCGGCGGCATCTCAGGGGCTGATTCTCCGTGACCGATTGTCATGGACATAATGGGTGATTTGCGTGCTTCTTGTTCTTCTTCTTCTGAACTAAGCACAACTTCCGATTCCCTAAAACGGGACAGATAAGATAACCGGGGATTACTTGCTGTGGCTGACGGCCCAAGTCTTCCAGGTATCGGCGGCAAAGGCGGGTTCCTACCGAGTCCTAAAGGTGTATTATGAGGAGGAACCGGTGGTCTCGACTTCTGAGGGTTTGACACTTTGACGGATAGTGACAACGAAAGGCTGAGGGAGGATTTATTTCTCGAAAGAAACCTGTCAGTGTAGAGGGGTTATTTGAGGTGCACGAGTTGATTTACACGTAGGGATCAACGAGCGCTGACTCTAGGGAGGCGATCTATTAAAGCCTAATGGCTGCCTGTAGAGCGGTGGATTTGATTTAGGGAGGAGGGGTGCTTCTCAATTTTGTTATTGACTTTATTAAGGTCGAATTGAGGAGCGGGAACAAAGGCGAGTTAGTCTTTACATGTAGGGAGACCGACGAGCCTTTTCTTGATGAAGAACGGTTTGTTGAAGTTCAGTAACCAGGGACGAGTAGACTTTTCGTGAAGAGGTCGACGAGTCCCAAAAGCTGTGTAGAGTTTTTCGATTTTGTTATGCCCGGGCACGGTGACTTCTTCAAATGGAATAGGCACAAAGCGCACAAGGTGGGAGTCTACAGGCCGAACGTGTCGTAACCCCTATGGCTGAGTTATTGCGAGGATCCGACAAAGGTCTTGTCTACTGGCAAGTCCCTAAGGTTGTTCGCACGGAGAGAAGACGAGGATCAAAGCAAAGTAATTAGCTCAGTTGCAAGCTATCGAAAAACTGAGGATACAAGGTATGGTACGTGGGTTTATATACCCCTAAGTAAGAGTACCGCACCAGTTGCGAGCGACGCGTCGTGACGCGTATCCGCAGCAGTCAACGAACTAATCTTTGAAATAAATAAGAGTCATCCGGTGTCAGAGATGGGGGTAGGGATGGAAACGAAGGCTATACCAGCTGTGCAGTTGATGCGCAGCGAGGAGCCAGACACCGGATCTATAGTACAACATAAAGGCAATAAAAAGGAGTCAGCCAGACCACGAAGTGAACATCTCGCCGATCAGAAGAGCGGTGAACATTACGGATCAAGAGTGATGAGTCTCGACAGGTATTGGAAATACCTGGACAACCGGAGATCCGAGGCGTCCCTGTAGCATATGCACTCCCAGCACGACCACCACCACCAGCGACACGACAAGACACGTGACGCACATGACCATGAGAAGTCAAAAAAGGAAAGACCCCTGGCAGTAGCATAACACCTGACAGCAAGTGGCATGTATGATAGGGGGGGCCTCCACAGCAACTGTGTGGATGTACTCATCCAGGTGGGACCTGACATAAACATAGGCAATGTAAGTTTCCATCCCCATCCAGTGACAGTGAATCTTCTTGATCTTTGTCAGAGGGAGGTTGCAGAGCCTCATAAAACCTCTTTCAAAGAGTGCCCAAATCTTGTACTCAATGCCCAGATAAATGAGTTTGGAAGGATGGAAGGAATATGATTTCTTGATGATGCAGGAAGTAATGAAGCTGAGTAGGCATGCACTGCATTGGAACTTGCAGATAAACTCCAGGAGGTTCTTGAGGTCATCTGCAGAATATTTAGCAAGTGGGTGGGGACTTTAGTAGGTGAAATCAGTACATGCATCAGAGCAGAAACTCATAGACTTACCATGTGAACTTGATCTTGAGGAACAAGTCAAAAATTTCTGTAGTGAGGAATCTGTCCTTCACAATAATTGGGTTCTGATCAGTGCACCCCTCCCTGTCCTTGTCCTCTGGCATGAATTTGCCAAGTGAAAAGAGGTCAGAAAAGAAGGCTGACTCATTCACCAAGATGTTGTGGTTGAGTTTGTAAAGGAAATTTTCAACCAGGATAATGTATGTGCCATTTTCAAAATAAAAGTCAGGATGGCAGGTGGCCATCACAGTTGCTGGTGCTGAAGGACTAGTCATGATTAGGGCAAAACACCGGAAAGGTTAGGCCTAGAAAATTGTGCATTGAAATTATGTCAGTTATTTGTTTGGCTGTATGTGGGTTTAGGTTTCATGCGTCCAGACCTATGTATGTACTCTGTTATTGATGGCGACTTCACTCCCAAGTGCCATCCCTCAGCTACCTGTGAGCACCACACTGTGGCCATCCAATCTCCTCACTGCTTTTGACTTGCTATCCGAAATTTACCAGTGTGCTCTCCATGCCTGGACTCAAGAGGATGATGACTTGGTTCACTTAGACTGCCACCTCAGCTTTGATCTGTCTGACTGGCTCTCACTGGTGGCCAAGTCAATTGGAAGACTGCATGCAGTGCTTGCATGTTATTGAGACAGCATGAGGACTCAGTGAGTACATTTGAATAAATGGCTGCTGACACTAATGGTCTGTCATGCCAACTCATGATTAGTGTCAATGACACTGTAGAGATCCCAGAGCCTGTGATGGAAATTCACACTGGCTTACAAGGATGACCAAGGAAAGTCATCAATGTTGGCATTCTTGAGGAGGCCATTTCAACTTCAAGGCAAATCCACACCACCAAGCTTGTGTGCATCCTTGGAATCCACAGAAACACCTTATGTTCTTACATGAAGTCTCACAGCATTGAACAAAGATACACGAAGATCACAGATATGGAGCTCAATAAGCTTGTTACTGCATTCAAGAAGAGATGGCCTGAGTCCAGCCTTCACTATATCATGGGGTTTATGTGAGCACAGGGGATCTGTGTGCAACATTGCCACATAATTCAGTCGCTTCGAAGGATTGATTGACTAGGTCAAGCTTTATGAGACCACCACATGAAAACAAGATGCAAGTATCATGTCAAACAGCCAAATGTGCTGTGGCACATTGACAGCCACCACAAGCTGATCCAGTGGGGAATTGTCATCCATGGGTTTATCAATGGCTTTTGCCACACAGTACATCTATCTCCTTCTCAAGTTTGTCACATTTGTTGATTCACTCATAGGTTACCACAATTTGTGCTAGCAACAACAACCGGTCATCGACTGTCCTTTGCTTATTCAAACATGCTACTCAACAATATGGAATACCTTCTCATGTACATGGAGACTGCAGTGGTGAGAACATCAATGTTGCAACATACATGATCATGAAGAATGGCCACCACCATGGCTCGTTTATCTGGGGAATGTGAGTTTTACATTATTTTTGTATTCATTGTTGCTGATCATATGGATAGTTCAACTCAGAATTGTTGCATTGAGTGCTTATGGGTTGAAGTTGGATCCCAATTTGCCAGACACTGGTGTGCTTTTTTGCATGGCTTGAATGTGTTCATATGCTTGATATTGAAAACCCATTGCATATCTGGTTACTCCACACACTGTTCCTCACATTAATGATGCAGTTGATATGACGGAGAAAGAACGGAAGTATTCTTTCTAAAATCATCAGTCTGGGCGAGAAATGTCAGACGCAAGCTACATCACCTCACATCTACCTGGGTGTATCAGGTGATGTCGGTGATGATCGGTCGATACTGGTTATCACACCGATGTTGATAAATAAAAAGAGAATCCTAACACCGGAATCAACAACTTGGCATGTTACACAAACGTCACAAAATACTTGTTTCGTGCGGCATGTATGCCGTGAAGATACATATGTACAAGTTACACACAGACCATTCTCATTTGTTAACATAAGTACAGGGATTCGACACGCAGCAGTCAAAGGTTCATCGCTTACAACGATTCATATCACGGCGGCTCCACTACTTAGCTCCCCATGTACTCCGTGAGTCCTACTTCCTGTGTCTCAGTTCAACGACCCACTCTGTGATGTCTGCGATCGCATGACTTATTTCAGACTGCATCCGCGAGATCTGCAGCTGGGTGCGCTCGATGTCGCGCTGGCGACGCTCTATTAAGAGGTTGAGTTCATGGTCCGACATAAAGTTGGGGTCTTGGGAGCGCCGTGCTCTGCGGATCTGATATGAGGTCGGGAGAGGTGGAAGAGGTGGAGGAGATGGAATGATCGAGGGAGGAGCAAGTTGGCAACCTTGGTATGGGAACTGGGCAGGTCCATTGCCACTGTAGAAGCGGTCAATGTCATCCCAGTCTTCGTGGGGACTGGTAAAACTCGAGCGGGCAGAAAGGGCAGGGCTGCTGGGCGCCACGCTAGGAGGGGTGGGTGAAGTTAATCGAGGAGGTGAGTTTGCTCTGGGCAAGCTGGTGACGATCACATGGAATGGAGATGGGGGAGGAGAGGGCGTAGATCGCTTGGACAACTCGGGCGAGAAGTAGCTTGTACCGCACCAGGCTCCCTTCGAGCTTGGAAGGTGGAAAGTTTGAAACAACCCGGATAACGGCAGCTCGCTCGTCGGTTTTGGAGCAGACGACGCCTGTGGACGGTCCTGTCGGCGGAGCGTAAGTCATTCCAATTGAGCGCTACCTAGTTCGACAGAATCACTTGCCTGTACTACCGTCCATCCGGACTTCGACTTTCCCTTGTCCGTGGGGTTCGATGAGCTGTTTCCAACTGACATCTTCCCGTGGGCTGACACTGGCAGCGACGGATCATATACATGCGCTTCTAATGATTTGCATTTCTTGTTCACATCCATGATAAGTTTCTCAAGGGCGGCAGACGGCTCGACGGGCGTTAATCCTGCAGATTCTGTCCTAGAGTCAATGTCCTGTAGCAAACCCTGTGGCAGTCATAAACAACCGTTACATCGGACTATTCATACGAAGGGTGGGAGACATACCATGACAGAGCGCCAGCTGTTGAGCCACAACTGGATCTCGCTCGCTTTGTCGAAGACATTGGGACAAGACCTGGCGACTTCTTCCACCTGCTCCCACAGCAAGTGCCATTCTACGTCTAGTTCTTCTTGCTTTCCTGGAACGAGGTAGCTAAATTTCGGCATCGCAAGCGACGTCCCAGCGCAAAGGACGTAGAAGAAGGAAGACAAGAGGGTTCCTTGGCGCTCCTCAGCTGCTGTCCCTTCATATCTAGGCGCCAATCCACAGCATCTTCCTAAATGTAGAAAGGCTCCCCTAATAGTGGGATTTGTGTTTGCAGTTGTTTGGTCATCAGCCAACCTCCTGCCCAAATTTTCGTTTCGGAAGTTTTGAAGGCGCGCTGCTTGCAGACAGGCCAAAAGAGACGTCGCGTTCAATCAGGGCGTACCGAGTTCCCTGTGAAGAACCGACATAGATGCGGCATGTGGTGTGTCTTTTGCTGACGCTTTTGATGACGAGCTCACTGTTAGCCTCCAAGCAGCTAACTTATGTTACTTTGTCGTCGTATCCTCCGTGTGCACGTTCCAAATCTCTCATCAGTTGTACGACTCCAGGGAGCCCAGACTGTGCAGCACGGAAGACTCTCAGATGTCAAGCCGTATCTCAGACACACGAGACATGCCTCCAATAACAGGTGTGATGAGAGCGACGACGCTCCTGCTACATCTCCTCAGGACCCGGCTGTGGTTCCAGCAAATATACCTCTACCTCACACTAGTAATTCCCTCCCCAACCCTTACCCTGAATTGCTTGGGACCGTACTCCGCATCTCGCGGTACTCTGAACCAACGAAGGGGGTCAAAGAACTCAAGACTGTCGCGGGCAAGACTGTGGTCGAAGAGAGCAAATATAGCCCCTTTCAGGCCTACATGCTTCTCCGCGCGCAAGACTCTAATATCGCAGCCTCTCTCCCAGTTGACGTTCTCTGTTGTATCGCGCAGGGCGCGGTTAAGCATGGATGTCAGGATATCGTGGATAGTATTACAGCAGACGTATTGGCCGAGTGCAAGGACGATGCCAACTCTAGTAACACCCCCCCCAACTCACCCACAGTTATCGCTGATGTTGATATTAATGTTGGTGCTCCTCCGGAAGCTACCCTCCGCCACAACACCGACAGTCCTGATAGCAACCCTAGCTGTGCCCATGGCACATTTAGACTGCGGGACCGAGCCAGCGTTGCAGCGGCTCTCCTCTGCGTCTCGCCCCGTTATCCACATCTGCTAGCGAAAGGCACGGTTCTTGCACTTCTCACTCTCATCAACTCAGCTGGCCGGATCGACTCGCTTCCTGTCAACGCTGCCTGCCACGCAATAAGGACTGTCTGTGATGATGTTCAGCCGGACACGTGTACCCAAGATATCATCGCGCTTGCCCTTCCTCGCTTCCTGGGGTGGCTCAGGGCCTGGCAAGCGCCGACAGGTGCGAAAGCAGTGTCCTATAGGCCATCCGAAACGATCCTCGCAGCTTATGGCGTGGTCCATGGGCTCGTTTTGCTTGGGGACAAGGAAAAGGCCTTTGATCTTTTCCGCGCACTTACGGAGAATCACCATATCCCTCCTGACTCATTTCGTCATGTCGATATAAATGTCGATGCGAAGAGTAACGCTGGATCAACGACCAAGTATGATTTTAGTATGATCATACGCAACGTCCTTGCCCGTGCATGCTTCCATTGGGGCTGGCACCATCTAGGAGTGGAGCTCATGGTTGCAATGACCGAGACTTACGACGAAGGAGTGCAGACGGAACATAGCAAGAAATTGGTCTCAGGAATACTCGACCTCTTGCATACTGCCATTGAGTCATGTACTACCGAGCAGTTTCGACGCTGCGCCACCCTCATGTGTTCACTGGTGAGCGATATGGACATCCCAGAAGCTACTGTCTGGCTATTTTATAACCGCGCGCGGCTGCTCAGGGACGGCACGTCAGCAGAGATGTTCTACCGCCGCACACAGTCACCCCAGATGCCCTCGAGGGTGCGGTATATGTCTCCCAGGGGTAGGGCATTCGTATGGCTGATGAATTATCTTTCGGAGGAAAGGCATAACGTCCATCTTGCACGGTCACTTGCGAAGCAGCTTGTGCAATTTTCAGTTCCTATCCCGCCATACGAGCGCGCCGCACTGGTTTCCATGGTTGCAAAGAACGGCTTTGCGGAGTCTGCGCGCGCGCTTTGGGAGCGATATACCGTGGGGAAGGACCGTGAGCTCGTGGTTGGGAATGCCGCGGCAATGATCCGGGTGGTGTCTCTGTTCGCGAACCTCGTTTCTCGCACGCAGGAGAAGTTAGAGATGCTGAGAACAGCTGATGACGCTGAACGACTACAAGACACCATTGTGGAGAAGGAGACGAGACTAGCAGACATGTCGCAGTTCGCACAGACGGTGTTGCTTTCATTCCACAAGTCGAAGGAACCACTGGACAAAGCGGCTCACTCTGACTTGAACGCCCTGGCGAGAGGCTACTTTCTGCTTGGCAGGATGAGACAGGGGTTACTACCATACCGCGCACTGCTCCGGCGGAAAGAAATACCGGACCTTTACGACATCAACGTGGCACTTTCGGCTATTTCGCGACACTCGCCGCGGATGGCAGCAAATTTGGTGGAGCGGATGCTCGCGACCGGGTTGCATCCTGACGCGGTTACGTTTGGTACAGTGATGCATCAAGCGTTAGTGCAAGGAGACCTGGAACTCGCGGGCATACTGGTAAAACAGGCGCACGAGTATGGGTTAGAGACATTGTCAGCGAAGACGATGGCCGCACTGATCCTTGCGAGTGTGAGCGACAGGGCGGAAACTACGGAGGCTTTGGAAGCTAACCTGCGGCACGTGTGGGAGATCGTCCAGGTGACGCCACGAAGCAGTGTGGTACACACGCCGAATATAGGCGAGTGTTGCATCAGGGCGTCCTTGCATGTCGGAAACGCTAAGATGGCGTTTGACTTTTGGGATGAGCTGGTACGATGGAAGGCAGAGTGGGGTGATCATGAACAGATCCAGCTGCGGCGGAGTATTGGGAGGCTGGTGCGACGGCGCGTTCGGGAAGGGTCACTTGCGGCTGAACGGGGGAGAGAGATGCTCGGAGCACTTAGGCTTGGCGGAAGGGTAGGTTGACTTGGATTTCATATTTTCATTTCTTTTATCCGCACTGTCAGTAATAGATTTGAATAACACAGCTAATTGGCAAGCTCATGACGGCTTGGGGTTGTTTGTTGTGTGAGGAACCTGTCGCAGCCCTGAGCTACGTGCCACAGGGACAGCTAGGCTCCGGCGTGAGCGGTACCCGAAACGGAAGTCGGAGCCCAGAAACCCCTCCAAGGGGCGCCAGGCACACGGAGTCAGCTGAGTATGTAATGAAAGAAAATAAAATCCATGGAGGGATCTGGGAAAGAACAAAGGGCGAAGAAAAAAGGCGGTCCCACAGATCCGTTGAAGATTATAGGATAACATGGGAGGTGAAATCAGACGAATATCAGACAGACACTCTATGGACTCCCCGCGTACTGGGACCCAGCCTCCGGCAGCTGAAGACAGCACTAGCAGTCGACGGAATATGATGACCATGTCGATCGCAAGAGGGACCAAGTTGTCCAAATCAGGACCATCCCCCGGGCTCACTCCACCCGTCAAGAACAGCAAAGCCAGGTGAGTACTTGTGCGTCTGTCCACGTCGTCCGATGTATCTCCGCAGTCTTTGGTTTCCTCGTCCCCCGACGTATTGATATTATTAAATCACCGACTGTCTAGTCGTCATGTCAATTTGTTCTGCCGTCTTCCTCTTATCTGCAGGTGTACTGACATGCGTCTTCCTATGACACCACAGGCGGCAATCACAGAGTAAGTCAGGACACTTTCTCTCTGTCAACTCGCTCGAACCTCGGAAAATCCTCGTTAAATACATATCTCCATTCAGGCTGTGATGCTTGCAGAGCCCGCAAAGTGCGCTGTGCTAAAGATACCCAAGACCAGAAACAACCTTGTAAACACTGTTTGACCCTGGGCATACCATGCACGTATGACTACCAGCCTAAGAAACGAGGCCCCCCAAACCTGTGCGTACGTTCTACGTATGTAACCTTTACCCGAACACTCAGGCTTCACCCAGCTATCTGCGCAGATTGCAGCAAGCCCAAGCTACCGGAGGAACTTCGGGCGTCTCTGCACAATGTCGGGATGACAGCTCCTCAGACCCATCCATTTCCCCTTTATCACAAACCCTCACCAGTCAATCTCAGCGCAACGTGACCCCATCCTATGTTGCCCAAGGTCAGCTGGCTGTTGGGGAACCTTGCATGTCTTCATCATCAAACGTATTATCTCAACATTCTACTTCTACAGATACCTCATCAGATTGCTTCCACTCGGTAGTCTCGCTTCCTTCACAGGGCCACTACGGTGGATCGTTTCCCAGCGACCACTCAGATAGTCACTTGAGTGCGGAGTATGTCACCCACCACCAGCATCACCTCTCATCCCCAGTCGCTTTGCTCTCACCGAATATCCTTCCTCCACTCTCATATTACTGCAGACCCCACCGCCTCGAAGATATCGCACCGCAAGACATCATCTTTCTCATAATCGATCTCTTCTTTGACTTCGTGTACCCACTGACTCCGTGCGTACACAAGCCCTCGTTCATGGCGGCCTTGCGTGCGCATCGCGAGGAACGTGACCCGCTCTTCTTTGCGCTCGTCATGTCAACCGTCGCATCTACCCTCGTACAGGTACCTAGGTCATATGTGCCGCTAGATAGATCGACGGTGAAGAAGCTTGCAAGGACATGTTTCGAGGCAAGTAGACACATCACAGTTGCATCGTATGACCCTCCATCATCGACGCATGTTGTAATTCGATACTTGTGAGTCATCCCCTTTTTAAGTAATTCTAATGGCATTGGTTGTGACCTTTTGGGAAGTGATTGCTGTTACAACTTTTGCTCGGGGGTCGACGCGACGCAGCATGCGACCTACGGTGAGGCGGCACACATCGCTGTCACGCTCCGCATGCACGAGGAGGCATCGTATGAGGGACTTGATCCGATCGAATCGGAAGTTCGACGAAGGGCGTTCTGGTTGCTTTTTGGTGGTACGTATCACATACATATATATATTGCCTGTCCCGCCCATTATCACGGCGAATGAACACGCCGTGTCAGAAGCCAACCATTATCTGACGTTGTTTTTATCATCAGCTGACAAATCAATGGCGATCCTTCTCGGACGACCAGTGTGTTTCCGCGACGAGGACTGTACGGTGCGCTTCCCAGGGGAAATCGATGACGAATAGTACGTACCTCACGACGTATTCCCCAGTTCAATTTACAGAAGTTGTCTCCCACATATGTGTACCGTAGCATTACGAGTAATGCGTACCTCCCCCAACCTCAAGGCAAAATCTCTATTATCTCGGGGTTAAACTATGTTTCCCGGATCTTTGCATTACTTGGGGATATCCTTGTTCGAATACGTGTCGACAAGCGCTCACCTCCACATGGTCAGTTTGCTACGGCTCGTCTCGAGGAAGTGGAATCCCTGCATACAAGAATACTCGAGACTCTTGAGAACGTCCCTGAACCACTACAGTTGAAGAGGCAGTTTCCCGCTGGTTACGTTCCTACTGGAAGTAGTGTTAGAGGGGGGAATAGCGTTGGTACACTGGATGCCGGGGAATACCAGTACGGGACTGGATTCAGGCAGACGACGTTAGGCGAGGTCAAAGATTTCTTTGACAATCCTAAAGCATCTCGTGCAAACGCACTTAACCCCTTCCTCGTACAACAAGGAAATTTGTACGTGACGCAAGTAAGTGTCAAGTTTGCAGAGATGCTGTGTAGGATTGATGCTGACTTGACTGGCCATCACAGCAACTTGTGCGATTTGTGATCGAACAGTACCGAGACGAGCTTATTACCTTTATGCATGGGAACATTGATGAACGTCAGATGATGGAGGACCGGGAAGCTGTTGCGAGCGATTTACTGAATATCCTCCATAGGTAGGCTCGCTCTTCCGGTGTGTAAACCTCTTTTCTGACGAATCTTCTCCGTTCTAAGCATACCCATTCAATCTATCGCGACTAACGGTCCTTCATTGGTTAGTCCTATTTTCTCGTATTCCTTGCTGCTAGCGTGTCTCATTTAGACACTTGCAGGTTCATAAAGTGCGGTTTGTAGCGTCGACGTTACTCGATGCGGTTGGGAAGGCGGATTCAGCACCTGCATCTGCTGAACGAGCCCACGCATACCTACGTGAGTCTGCCTTGCCTCTTTTTGTTTCCCTCCTAATCTCTATGTTGAAGTGGATTTCTTATCGATCCTGTCGGAGATTGAGAGGAACTACATGTGAGTCTTCTCTGCGAAAGTTGAATCTTTGCGTTGATACGTTGCCACAGGCTCGAGGACGACCTGAATCCGGGAGAGAGCGCCAGATAACTGGATAATTCCCTTAGTGATAACACCTTTATGCGTGGCGTCCTAATGTCAAACCCTTCTTCTTCTTGTGGTCAGTATCCTATTTGATACGTTCAACTTCAGATCCGTTATTATTGGCTTATATTACTGTTCCTGTCCTCATTTAAAATTCTGGTGTTTCGCTATCATGTGGTTCTCTTCCTTGTGTCCCCTTTCCGTTTGCCATCGCCGACAGCTCAACTGGGCGACGAAGTAACCAAGGACCTTCCTCGAGCTTATTAATCTGTTCATGCCTATGTATCCATAGTTCCCGTAGTTCTCGGTAATGGCACATCCTCACTGTGCATTGTGGTTAGACGTGGGATGATGTGCGTTAGATGCGTGGTTCACGGTCTAAAGATGGCTTGTGCATAGCAATCGTTCTCTCTGTGGTATATAAACATCGTAATTGAAGGGTTGTTATATTAGTACTTGCTCCGTCTGTTGACTCTCGGAATTGGAAATACTGCTGTTATGATGCCTGGCACTGCCACCGCCCACGCACCTGAGCCCGCTTTCGATCAACTCTTTAAGGTGACCCCATCAGGCCGCTGAACGACTTATACTGGCCATTTTACTACAGAATAACGATGTCGTTTTCCGACACAGTGCCCGAGGGCGGGGCTAAAGGTAACCCTGTGCAGATCACTGAAGGTAAGGTTTCTTCGTCAAAGCTTTTGCTCTCTACTGTGTTGCTAATAAGTGTTGTAGATGAGGCTGCGGTGTATGATCGGCAGATACGTTTATGGGGACTCGAGGCGCAACAACGGTGAGTTTCTACTCGACACCTACTCCTGGTTCTCGCTAAGCCCTTCGGAATCTACCCACTAACTGGAATTGAATACTATTACCCGCAGGATGCGAAATGCCACCATTCTGATCGTGCGGCTACGTGGGACAGCGACGGAAGCTATCAAGAATATTGTCCTTGCTGGAATTGGGAAGCTCGTTCTCGTTGATTCGGACGAAGTCACGGACGAGGACCTTGGAGCTGGATTTTTCTTCCGGGAAGAGGACGTCGGAAAGAAGGTGTGTGTTACAATTCACCACTAGCCTTCCGCTTTTCACATTCGCCAATGTGGTCATACTTGCGGTAACGCCATACGACAGAAAGTCGAAGCTGCCAAGGCGCGGATAGAGAGCCTCAACCCGTTGGTGACAGTACAAACGATGAAGCACCACACCCTTTTGGAACGGGAATCGCTGGATGCATTAGTCATGAGTGTTGACCTGGTGTGCGTGACAGATTGGCACTGTGAAGGATTGGTGAGTGAGTTGCTTAATGGATGCCGTCCGGTGTAGAAATGGAAGCTGACGTCAATGGCACTGGAGATCCGGATAAATGAAGTCTGCCGACGATTCGGCAAGCCCTTCTATGCCGGGGGGACATTCGGTCTATTGGGATACATATTTTGTGACTTGCTTAAGCATGATTACATTGCACCGTAAGTAGCCTCTTTCCGGACTAGGTTCGCTCGGGCGGCGATGTGCTTACTGCGGTTTCCACTCCAACCATACACGTGGCAGTGATCGTTCAGCGCAGGGTGACGGGCCGAGGAGTGTGAAAACCAGCCAAATATATTCACCCCTGCACATGGCGCTGCGGCATCGATGGTCAGGTCTGACAAAGAGGCAGACCAAGGAGCTCAATCCAGCTGCTGTGTACGCTATACTAGGTACGTACACCATAGTGTAGATTGTTTCCCGGCTGAGTTCCCTCCAGCACTTTGGGAGTACCAAAAAACGAAAGACGGGAAAGTCCCTGACGGTGTTGACGCCACTCCGGAACTACTCTCTATCGCCAATGCAATGTTAGCAGAGGCTGAGGTGAACTCGCAAGTCCTCCCCACCATGCCCTCGGAATTGATCGAGTACGGGGTTTTGTTTAATCGTGGCCAAGACAGGGACGCTAATGCCATGTACAGATCTGTTTGCAGGTCTGCCTCGCATGAATTTTCGCCTGTCTGTGCGGTGGTAGGGGGGCTGTTGGCACAGGACATTCTAAAAGCGCTTGCTGCGCGCGAGGCACCAATAGCCAACTTTTTCGTCTTCGATGGCAACTCAGGGAGCGGCACCGTAGTTAGGATGAACATGTAGTTACTAGAGTGTATCAATGTAGTGTAGTGATATCAGACCGTGAGAAAGAGGATAGGCCAAGGTGCGGCTACTTGGCAGCTGGGCTGTGCCGCCTGTAAGTTTCTGTGTGGGTCGTCGTCGTGCGTGGCAGAGGCGGTCGTTCCAGTGCCTCCTCACTCCCAGCCAGGTCCATGCAACCTCAACAACGTCGTCCGCCACCCAGCGCTCAAGATTACTACGCAGTTCCTCAGAGCCCTCAGGCACCGTCGAACATGCACAACTCACATCCATCCTACAACACATCGAGACCTCCTGGGAGGTCATCCTCACGAGGTAGCGTACAGATGCAGACCGGAAGAGGCGCGATTGCACAGGGTGTCGCGAGTGGTGTGATTGGTGCTGGATATGGTCCCTACTCAGTCAGTACAACACTTCCTCCTGAAGGCCTCACTCCCGTTGACAGCAAGAAAAAAATAGTATAATCCATCCTCAGTGCGCGAGGGCGCATTCAACAATGGCTCGCGGTTCAGCGCCGCCCCTTCCGAGGTGTCATCTGTAACAGGAGGCGAGAAAATGCCCAACAGTAGTGTAGCAGGAAACTCGTCAACAGTGCCCCCTTTTGCCTGGGACACAAAGGACCCAGACCTCGACGACGCTTTGCACAATCCTGATCCAGTACAAGATGCAGCCCTCGATAACTCCTTTACCTTATGGTCCCTACGTGGTTGGGCCAATGTCGGCACTTTGTTCGTCCTCGTCGTCGGTCTTATAACGCTATTCGCTGGGTATCCGATAATACACTATTTCTCGACAAAGAGTCCGACGACTTCTGGTTTCAACTTGGGAGGAATCAACGTAACGGGACAGGTTCCCTCCCTACCTGGGCTGCCTAGCTTGATCGATGCTGATACCCCATCGTCAGCACTATATCGGACGGGTAGTGATGGTAATACGTATCAGCTCGTATTCAGTGATGAATTCAACACCGATGGGCGCACGTTCTGGCCTGGTGATGATCCGTTCTGGGAGGCGGAAAACCTGCATTACTGGTAAGTCATTTGAGCTGGGTGGTCAGGCACGTGCAGCAGTGAAAGGTTTGCTCTTTGTCAGGCCTACGGGTGACTTGGAGTGGTATTATCCATCAGTGCGTCTTTACCTTTCCTGTAAAGTCCACTCGTCATCACTCATTGATGGTTCAAGGCTGTCACGACTCAGAATGGGAAGCTGATGATCACGATGACCGAGGAACCCAAAAACAACTTAAATTTCGTCAGTGGTACGTACTCGCCATCAACAACACTCCAAGATGAGAAGATTGATGTGAAGTCCAGGCATGCTGACATCGTGGAACAAGTTTTGTTTCACGACGGGTTATATCGAGGTCAGCATGAGCATGCCGGGAAGCCCTCTTGCCCCAGGTTTGTGGCCTGGTAAGTCTATCGTCGTTCTTCAGTTTCATCCTGCTCATTTTATGGAACAGGTGCGTGGACGATGGGCAACTTGGTGAGTCGTCTACAAGGGAGATGTAGTCCTCTGTAACTTTCCTTTCCTTTCATTAGGGTCGCGCAGGATACGGTGGGACAACAGAGGGTGCGTGGCATCTTAATCTCTTTTGATATTCAACTCATTTGTTATGAAGGTACTTGGCCTTACAGCTATACTTCGTGCGACGTGGGAACGCTTCCGAACCAAACTCAAAATGGTGTTCCTGCAGCAGCTGCTACTGGGGGACTCGGCGGTGGGCCATTGAGCTACCAGCCTGGTCAACGTCTATCCTCGTGTACATGCCCAGGTGGTGATCATCCTGGACCGAGTGTGTCGGTTGGCCGTGGAGTGCCCGAAATTGATATCCTTGAAACCCAAGTCGACGTCTCTGTCTTCCAGGGCCAGGTATCTCAGAGCTTCCAGACGGCACCGTATAACTATCAGTACCAATTCAACAACGCTTCGCCTGCTACTTCGATCAACGACACTGCCATAACTCAATTCAACACATACACCGGTGGCCCCTATCAGCAGGCGGCGTCTGCCTTGACGTACATTGATAGTCAGAACTACGCTGGACAGGGCTACGCCACCTATGGGTTCGAATGGTGGTCAAATCCAAGTAATCGCGCTTCGGGCTATGTCACGTGGTATAGTGAGAGTGCCCAAACGTGGAAGATCACTCCGAACTCGATTGGAGCAGACTCGACTGTGCAGATTAGTGCCCGACTAATTCCAGAGGAACCGATGGTGAGTAGGGTGGGAGTGTTATGGTTTAGGTGCTGACGCACACTACTTCGTGTAGTACATAATCTTCAACCTGGGCATGGCGCGTGCGTCTGGTTTATTCTCACTTATGATATCGGGCGCATCTGACTGTCTTTCAGCATCGTTCCAGGAACAGGACTTCATGCACCTTCAATTCCCTGTTACAATGTATATTGATTACGTTCGCGTATATCAACGAGAAGGACTCAAGAACGCCATTGGCTGCGATCCTCCAAGCTATCCTACTGCAGACTATATCAACGCGTAAGTTCATACCACAACCATTTTTATCCCCTTTGAACCCCTGCTGAATTCGATGTTGACGTAGGCACCTCAATGCATACTCAAATCCGAATATCACGACGTGGGCTCAAGCCGGATACAGCTTCCCTCAAAATCGCCTGACCGACTCGTGTTGACCACTCGCTTGCACCGTTCTCCTACTGCCGCAGCCCACTATCTATCCGATTCTTCGGTTGCTTGTGTTGTGTTGTTTATCACCCTACATCCTTTCATGCTCGCACATTTTGAGGGACATTTCTTGCATACTGTACGATTTTTTATTATCGGCCAGATCCTCCTTTCCTTTCTTTCCATCTACCGATCGAAAATCTGCCGGATTGCCATCACTCCTACTCTTCACTCATTTCCTTGCAGCAGTCACTTGCAGAATCTGGGGATCCTTAAATACTGGACCTTGCAAGTACCACGACACTTAGTTGACGAGTTGCAAAGCGATGCAACTCGAGTTACTAGAACAATTTACACATACACACACGTTACGTCTTCCCAGCCTAGTCAATCGTAAGGTGGGTGGGGCTTTCCGACGGGCTTGGACTGCATGCATATTTGGTATGCGGAACACGTTCGAGCCACTGTGCATATGTACATACCGTAGACACTCTTTTACTGTATGTTTACTACGAGCTCGTTATGAAAGACTTAGAAGTGCCACACGGTTCCGGTGGTCCGAAGACGAGACCGCGATTTAGTACTTCAATCCATTTCGGCAGTCTCGCAGGTGACCTTGAAGTCAAGTAGTATCGGTTTCTAATTTATCACCGCATCTTCGTAATGACACTTCCCCAGAACAACCGGGAATATGGTACACAAGAGTACTGGTGAGTACTCCACACTCGTCAACCCCGATCACATCGTAATCAGATCCGGCGGAGCATAGGAATTCAAGATATTCGGAGTGAGTGTTATGGCTACAAAACACGCCTCTTAGGCGACTAACATTGGGATTACTCTTTCGAAAATAAAATGAAAACGGAATAAACGTGACGGCGACCACTTGTTGCCTCAGTGCAACTCCAAATGACACATTCGACTGGTTTAAATCCTACGCAGATCTTGCGGACGACATTCGCACCCTTATCCCGGATAAGTCAGCGAGAATACTGATGCTGGGGTGTGGAAATTCTAGGTTTTCAGAAGATGTGCGTGTATTATGCATCCGTGGTCTGTTCTCGATAGTCGACTGACGAAGGGGATCATGCATAGATGTGGGATGATGGGTACAAGAACATTGTTAATGTGGATGTTAGTACCCGTTTAAGCTTGAGCCGTTCATTTCTGGATCCGAGAACTAATAACTGATTGTGCCGGATATCCCAACCTCATAAGTATTCTGCCGTCGTGATCGAGAAGATGCAGGAAAGAAATAGCGAAACAAGGCCTGAAATGCAATGTGAGGATCATTTTCAATCATTAACTTCAATGACCTCTCCTTTGCTCACGAAAAAACGGTACCGGTGAATGTCTTCTTCATGTTGATGACTATGACCGACAAAGGGTTCGAAATGGACGTGCGTTCGCTGACGTTTCCCGACTCTTCCTTTGATGTTGCCATTGACAAAGGTATTTCCGTACTCTCCGCATATGCTTTGTGATTACCTTGGAAAATCCAATCCTTTGTCAGGCACCATGGATGCCATGATGACGTCCTCCACCGATGTCTGGGTAGGTTTCTCAACCATAGGTGTACCTGAGCGGGCACGGTTGTTCTGACCCTCACACAGAATCCACCCGAGCAAGTTGTCAAAGATTGCGTAGCAGAGGTATCGGGAGTGCTGCGGTAAAGATCTCCCACCGCATTACGTTTTGGAGGACAGAGGAACTAACACTGCCATGTCATGCTGCGGCCTGCCTGCTACCCAGGGTTCTGCGGACAACTGGGTCTTTTATCTACATCACGTTCGGCCAACCCCACTTCCGAAAGCGGTTTTTGATGGGCGAACATGCTCCAAACACGAAGTTGGAAATCAAGACACTGGGGGAAGCGTTTCATTACTTTATGTATGTTCTTCGGAAGGGGAGTTAGGAATCTAGTCATATTACATATGTGCATATCGTGTACACCACCAACATTTAGAACGTCGTATCGTAGGTCCATTGAAGCCTACGTTGAGACCTATGCAGCACATGAACTACATGCAGGAGCCGAAGTACTCGGTGTCCCTCTTGCAGTTCCTTCTGGAGATAACAATTCCCTCTCCTTTTTGTTTACCTCCGGGAACGCGCCGTCCATAAAGCTCAACCCAACATTTGAGCACTCGTACACGTGTTCAAACGTATTGTCGGTATCGACCGAACTGATGCTCCTATCGTCCAAGCCCATCGTTTCGATCGACCTGACTTGGAGCTTAACCTTGGGGTATATTCCACAGGGAATGAAAGAACGGATGAGGACGCGAGGCGATGTTGACCTGCGCGCCAGTTCAACCATGTCACACCATTTGGAATGCAGAAACATGTCGCAACCGCAGGTTGGCGGCTGAGCTGTTTCTGGCAAAGGTTCGATAGTGTGGTGTGATGGCCACTCCGTGTAGTCAGAGTGAATGGAAATGAGAATACCCGGGTGTGCAGCTATCAGTGCTTGGACTCTTGGCCGGAGCCAGGCGAGATCACTAAGAATAACGGCGTCAAAGAGGCGATAGTCCTTTGAAGACATGTGAGTGATAGCACCATCTAGGACCGGTTGCAGTCAGGGAAGATGACATGTCGCAGAAAGCATGTAGACTCACGAGCACGTCGCTTCTGGATGGTATGGCAATAATTTTGGTGTCCCCCATATTTCCAATCGAGGCTTTGGCATTCCTTGCTGCAGTAGTAAACCTGGAGGCAACCCGTGCACTGTTTAAACTCCGCAGCGGGTCGCGATTTACCGCACTAAGCAGTGACGCGATTACGATTTGGTCAATAGCCCAGAATATACCAGTATATGATGAGATCACCTTGACGTTTTGACACCAGTAGTCAATTGTACCGTCTTTGGTCAGGAGTGGCAACCTTGAACGAAGAGCACCATCGAAATCTCCCCATGCCACCGACACCAGTGTATCCTTCTGCAGTTTTTCAGGCAAACCGGAGGCTTCAATGTCCTTGTGAGCCTTGGACAATAACTCTAGCACGGGGCGGTGTATGGAGTATTTTGGGAAAATCTCCCCATAAAGCTCTTGCAATGGTTCCCAATCATCCGGGTCCGGCAGGTATTTCATCCAGGGCTCGACGAGGAGAAGCGCCTCCAAGAGTCCGGCTTTGATCACTTGTGTAATCCATGTCAACCCATCTCCACCTTCCACGTATGAGCGAATATACCAACAGGCATAGGACAATGCCTTTGTCACAAGAGGAGGAGCGTCGGAGGGGAGTTCATTAGAGCGGGCGAGAGAGAACATCAGAGACACCACGGTCTGCATAGAACCCTGCTTAAGCAGGCCCATACAGACAGATTCTTTAATAGAGAAAGTGGTCATCAAATGGATGTCGCAGATGACGCGGTCGTAATCCATGGGGACCTGTGTGATGTCGTGCCTAAGGTGAGCCAGCGCAGTTGATGCAAGCAAGGCTCCGTCGTTATCAAACAGGGCAACAAGATCATCCCAACTCCAACCTTCGGTGTGCATGAAGATAGCCTGCCAGCAGTCCAAGATGCCTGGCGTGCAGTATACGGGGGCCATCTCATCTTTACCATCGTTGCAACAGCTGAAAATGGGGTCTTCCACCTCCAGGCGCCACAGAGAGGTAAGCGTGTAAAGGAGGCCAGGTGAATGAAACATTGTCGGGACGATCGGACGTAGATCGGCGTGAAGGATAAGGCCGATGAAGTCGACTATGGATCGTTTCGCACGCACACGAAACGCGACATCGATGCAGCTTCGATCGACGTAGTCGCTCTTGAGATACAAAATCCATTCAAGGATGGAAGGCCAATGGATCAGCAGCGCATCACAAGTTTCTTTTGCTTCAGCCTCCTCCAAGGCCCCCTCGGGGACGATGCAAGCCAAACTTCTGAGCGCCATAACCTGTAAGGTCGGATGAACACTTTGGTCCTTGGCATTTTCTTCCTTTGCGCTCTGCAGACGCCCAGAATTGAGAATCTCATAGAATGCTGTGGCGATCCACTGAAACTGGACAAAGGAGCATTTATCCCGTAGGACCATAAGCGTGAGGGTGGAAACTGCTTGCACTGAGCCACTCGCAAGTTCGTCGATGGCGGTCTATAAGGAACTCGATTGAGAACGTAAAACCCAAGCCAGTCAGGGAGTCCTACCTTGACCGCCTCATCGAGTACGGGCATTTTGAATAGTTCCGGCAACTCTCAGCCAAGGATGTGGACCAGTAAGGAATATGGAGTCGACTTGCAGTAAACCCTGCACCTTGAAGGAAACTGTTTTATAATTTGGGTTGACCAGCCAAAACATAACAGGGCACTCCGATGAAATGATCATTCCACAGCTATGGCTGGAGTGCTGCTCACGTGACCAGAAATTTATCTCAGCGTTTCACCGCGGTGTCGAGTGGAACGAGCTAGATGACCATCGATCTCACCCTGGAACGCGTTCGCCGTTTGGCCTCTCAATTTTCGTATAAGCGACCCTCAATACATGTTGCAGGGACCAACGGAAAGGGTAGTGTGGCGTGCTTGCTTGCATCCATTCTTCGGGCCTCGTCCTTCAAGGTCGGCAAATTCAACAGCCCCCACCTCATATCTATTTACGACTGCATTACTATCAATGATGACCCTGTCACCCTGGAACTATATCACGAATGTAGAACACAAGTCGAGCAAGCCAACGAGCAGATCGATGCCAGGGCCAGTAGTTTCGAGTTGTTGACCGTGACTGCGCTATTGGTCTTCGAGAGAGCGGCAGTCGACATTGCAATCGTGGAGGTTGGTATGGGTGGTCGACTGGACGCAACAAATGTTATACCGGACGAATGTATCTTGGTCTCTGCCTTGACCGCCGTAGATCTGGATCATCAAGCATTCCTCGGAGCAACTGTCGACCTGATCACCCGGGAGAAGGCTGCCATCGCACGGCAGGGAAAACCCTTCATTTTGGGTCACCAGAGAGATTCTTCGGTTGGATCAGTTGCAGAGGAGGTTGTCCTTCAACATGGCGGAACTTTCGTTCGCAGTATACCAGTAAAATCTGTTGGGAGCGATGATTTATCCATTTCGCTTTCGTCGTCGCCGTTCATCCCGCCGCGTGGACAAAATGTCGAATTTACATCGGATGCCTTCGGTTCTCCGATCCGCGCCACGCTGCCGCTACACGGAACACATCAACTCCTATAATTTATCACTGGCTTTGACTGTTATCTCACTCCTGTTAAGGGACTCGTCCTGTGCAGCAGTTTTACCAGAACTAATACATGCGATCACCCCGGAGACCGTTCGTGCAGGGATTGAGTGTGCTTCATGGCCAGGAAGACTATCCTTCCATACCATGCCTCGTCCTGTCACACCAGGATCAATCGGGGATCCTTTGGTCTTACTCGTCGACGGAGCTCACAACCCTGCTTCTTCAGAAGCACTCGCTTCTTACATATCTAATCTCACTACGCACATCCCGTCACTCTCACGGACGCTACACATCACGTATATCCTCGCACTCTCCCATTCACCGCCTAAAACACCTGAGCAGACCCTGTTCCCGCTGCTGCCACCACGCTGCCGAACAAGCAAACCTGTGACAGTAAGCGTCGCCGTGCTGCGATTTCACCCTCCGGACGGCATGCCGTGGGTCAAATCTGTTGCGCCTTCGGCGTTGCGAGCGGCCGTCTCAGGTCTCGTCCCGAATGCAGATGTGTGGGCTACGCAAGACGATGATCCTGCAGATAACCAGCTGCAGCGGGCTCTTGAGTGGACCGAACTTCAAGCAAATAAAATCCGGGATGAGGGCGGAGAACACCTTGCAGTACTTGCTGGAAGTTTGTATTTGGTAGCAGACTTTTATCGCCTGATGGAGCAACTCAAGGCGCCGAATTTCCTGGTGTAAATTCGGTTCCTGCAGTTATCTATCGATTCAAACAAACGATGTCGTCTGTATTCTGTATTGCAGTTGAGTAGAAGCTTTGTTCCCAGTAGTGCACGAGTATCTGGTGTATCGCTCGTACTTGTCGACCTGCGAGTGATGATGACTAACCATGATGAGACAAGTCGACATCTTCACAAGTCAACATATCCACATGCTGCACGCCTGAATCCACCACTGGCTGCTGTATTTTGGGAGCAAACGGCCTGGCGAGTGGACACGTATATCCTTGGCTTTGATCGGTGTGCATTTTGATTGTCTCTATGACTGGTGCGGATATTGGTCCAGCTGCACGAGCCAAGCTGGGTGTGATGCATGGGACGACCATTGCCGGACCATCCAACTACAGGGACGCCACCAATGGGTAAGTGATTTTTTTGACGTTTACTCATTCTCAGCTTCACCTTGGTCATTCTGCTCGTGTAGCACGCCTTGGAAACAAAATCCTACGCCAATACAAATGCCAGGCAGCGTGAGCTCGTATAAGACTCACCTCTGGCATTCACTTGGCTCATGTTCTTACTTGCAGCGACCGGCCGGGAACAGGAACCCTTATCATTTTACCAGTGATCTCAGTAAATCGAGGGGAAATCCAGTAACGTCCCGGACTGTGCTGGGTACGGCCAGGAATCCAAGTCCCATAGATCGGCGTCCGTCGAAGCGCCCGAAATTAGATTCTGGCTATGTCCTTCCAACCACTAGCCCTTACTTTCCTGGTATTACGAACAACGGACATGGTCCCTCATCTGCTCGTGCTTTCTCCCACGCTCACGACTCAGAGCCTGAAGTTCAGGAGGTTAGGCACCCTTTTGCAGTCCGGCGGAGGCATACCCAAATGGACGACGGAGAGATAATGATTGTGGAAGGGCACACTAGCGATATTGGGCAACCTGTGGCACGTCCTGGCGCTGCTATCGCTGGCAACACTAACGACCGATCATCTCCGGACCCAATTCTGATGGACCCGCCTCCCAAACATCCATTACATCCGTTCGAGATCCCCCCAGGGAAGTTATGTACGGCTTCGCGAGGCAAGGGAAAACGTCGGGAAACAGACATCCGTGATCCAGTGCCCGCTTCTGAGGAGTCAGACGACGAGATTACGTCGTGGCATTCTGATCAACCAAAAACCTCCTTTTCTAGAACACCGGTTATTCCTAGCGGCAAGGTTCATGGCCTTCGAATCATGTTTGAAGGGCATGCAGCCTCGAAATCCGCTCGCCCTCACAGCGATGTGCCCGCCCGGGACTTGACGACTCTAGCTAACGGTGGTGTCAGAATTGCAGATCGGATGCGGCGCAAGGACGAGGTAAGAGTAGACTTCATGATTATCCTCAGCACAAAGTGGTGGATACTTACTGGTTTCCAGGGTTTTCAGAATTTGGATCGCGTCGGGACGTCATCTTCAGGCCTGATGGATACCAGAAAGAAGGATATAGACGTATCTCTTCCTCTTGAAGTTTGGTACCTAGGTCGCCGAGAATTTCGGCGGGAGGGCGAGGTGCCCGACGAACTCACTTATAGAGACCGTGGCAAGTTGTTGTGTGTTGTCTTCGGACGACCGCCTCGCAAAATCGAGATCAAGCTTGACAGACAAGTTGTGAAGGCCGAGGTAATGCGGGTGTCTTTCTTCGGAGTTTTATGTTGAAAGTTATCAAGGTTACCAATGACAAAGAGAGTCCTCTCGAAGGAAACCCCGTAATACAGTTTAGCACTACTAAAGGGGACTGGTGGAAGCGCTGGGAGGCCGAGTTTCGTGGTCAGTTTGAGGGAGGTGTGTTGCCGGTTTTAGTGGAAACAAGCTATATGTTGATCGTTCCTGTACCGAAGGAGGGTCGCGACAGCGTGAGGTGTTGACTCTGGTTTTCTCAACTCACCTCGCTGGCTGGGACCATACGGCATACCAAAGGTTTGCCAGTTATCTGAAGAATGTCTGCCACTGCGAGGTCGTAAGGTAGGGAACATTGAAGACACCTAATGTTTCCAACTCACCTTTCACAGGCCCATCGCAGCGTCCGGTCTTTGGGATACAAGCAAAAAATTTGCAGACATGGACGCTCAGGTTTCAAAGCGTGGGAGGCGTGAAACAACACAGCTATCGGGGCGCTCTTCGACGCCGAGTTCATCTTCTGCCAAAGCGAGAATCTCAGCTTGTAGTGTGTGAGTGTCTCGCAGTACGTTCCGGATTCCCCTACGACTTGCATGTAGGAAGCCGCCAGAATCTAAAGCAAGTCAAGGTGAACTTCGTCGCTCTGGGCGCCAATCTGTGACTCAGAGCGCCAAGGTGACGCCGGTACCTGCACCTCCTCAATCCGCTGTGGAACAAGATGAACTGTAAGTAGCTCTTCTCTTCTCGCTCCCACAAGTATTTACGATTATATGCCCTCGAAGAATCCTGATGTACCCCCCTGGTGGGCCTGGGGCGCTTAACATTATGCGCAGCGACTTGAAGCGTTTAGAGCCTGAAGAATATTTAAATGATACCCTCATTGAGTTCGGGCTGAAGTAAGGCGTCCTCGCGGACTACGCAGTACGTCTTGAAGCTGACAAAGTTCTATAGGCTTTGGCTTAATGAGCTTCGAGAGAGGGATCCGTTGCTTGCGGATCAAATACACGTCTTCAGCTCGTTTTTCTACAAGAAACTCAACACGAAGAAGTACGTCAGTCTATCACGTTTTACGTTACAGAGTGCTTATTTCATGCAGTATCGAAGAAGGATACCAAAGTGTGAGGAAGTGGACCTCTAAAGTTGACTTATTCTCGAAGAAATACATCGTCGTACCTATTAACGAAAAGTAAGTCGTCCTTCCTCGCTGCTCCTTACACACTACATAATGTCCCTCAGTTTGCACTGGTACTTCGCTATTATATACGAACCAGGTCATGTATTGGAACCACCCCTCGTAGCGCCTCCAGCAACACAGGCTCGACTGACGCGCAATCGGAAGAAGGGGCGGGCCAAGGTTGATTTTAAGACAGGTCCCCCTGAGTCTCGGTCTGAGGCTCAGGGATCGTCAACATCTAGCATGCAAGAAGACGATGGCGGATTGTCATTGAAGGCAGCCACCCGACCTACAACGCCAAGCGTGACCCACGACGTCGACATGGAAGATACAAATGGTGCACCCTTCAACCTAGCCTGTTCTGACTCCAAGCTAGCAAAACCGCCTTCTGGGTCCAGCGCGCTTAGCGAATTGACGTACCCAACTTCTCCAACTCATGGAGATGCTATGGACGTGGATGTTGTCGAGTCTTCCATTGGACCACCCTTATTGCCCTCTCCTAGCTCGTCTGACCGATTTCCCGAACGACAATCCGGCATTCCCGCTTCCAGGTTCTATGGGCCCCTATCATCCAAGAAAGAGGGAAAAAAGATCATCGCTGCTGATGAGTCTGTCGTCATTCTAGATAGTGAGGAGGAGAACGACAAACGTCAAGAGGATGAAGTGGTCAATATGTTGAAAGAAGAACCACCAGAGGCTTCACAGCGCCCGTCCCAGTATGAGTTTCTTTATGAATCTTACCAGATATTCGTGCTGAATGGTGATCAGGACTTACATTTTTACTCTCGATTCGCTTGGGTCTAGGCATACGCAGGTCGTGAAAGTCTTGAAGTTCTATCTCAGCAGGGAAGCAAAAGATAAGAGGGGTTTTGATGAAGTACGCGACTCTATTGGAAAGCAAGTCCAGGTCAGACCATTCATCCTGAGCCAGGGGAAGTCCTTATTTCTGTTCTAGGTCCCAGTTCAACCCAACACGTGGGATTGCGGAGTATACCTCCTTCATTTAACTAAAGTCTTTATGAATAACCCGGAACATTATTTCCGCCTGATCACGACTGTATGCTTGTACAGTCTTTCTATTGTGATTTATCATTGACTTGTTCTGTGCCCACAGACCAAAGGAACTATACCCAGCTCTGAACGCAGGGCTATTTGGCAAGATCAAGAAGTTCCCAAGTTTCGAGATGACCTCGTCGCTCGAATCACTCAGTTGTCGGATACATGGAAGGCCGGGAAGGCAGTTAAAGAGGAGGGGGCAAAGGGGCGAAAGAGCGAAGAGGTGGAGGCGGAAGTCATCTCTTCGGAGGGCGAAGTCGATATCGTGCACGTTTCAGGTCAAGTCAAGGCCTCGCCGCGACGAAGGTACCCCAATAGACTTCGGGGATGACTGGAGTTGAACCACAGGGTGACGGCTTTCTTCTCTTTTTTTCTTTCCTTCGCCTTCTTTCTTTTCTGTTGTGATGATATCCGTTAGTTTCCCTTCGCCGCCGTTGACACATGGCATCCCGGACATGCACTAATTTGCGCTTTTAATGAACGGGTATATTGTATTGCACTAATGAAATCAGGGGTGGATTGTTTTTCGAGAACACACGAAGTCCGATGCAATAAGGTAGAATGTAGCGAAAGCAATTCGGCAGTTGATTCCTTTGTATTCAGAGTACTTACGGTTAAACATGGCACGGGCATTAGTAATGAAGCGGAACGCTGTGAATGTCCTCAGAACACCCTCTAGCCCAGAGGATCGAAGGAGATGCCAATAAGGAAGCGAAAGAAAATAAAAAGGGACTCATCCTACCGCGGGTAGGTCGCTTGCCCAAGAGGTTGAGGATATGGACGTACGAATCTGGGTAGCGTAAACGGGTAAGGGCGAAGGCAACCATAAAGGACGATGGCGCGTTAGCGTGAAGCGGGAATAAAGCGTATCTCAACATAAGTGTGAAGTGATGGTATAAAGGATAAATACAAGCTGCGTTTAGCATCGAGGCAATGCAAAGGAGAGGACGGGACGCTGTTAACATTGGTCCCGAGAGTCGAAAAGACGAGGTTATGCAATCGGTATTACGCAGTTTGCTGGGTCGACGGTTGGTATCGTATGAGCAGGACTGCCAAACAAATATGCGGCAGCATAAAAGCCTAATGATATAGGGATTGATGACGATGTTTCTTGGCGCGTCGTGGGACCTTCGCTTGAACCAGACCATTGAGAGGGGGACCTGAGAGCGGATAAACAGCATAAACAGCATCTAAGGGGGTTGGCTGAGGCTCTGCTGCACGGCGTGCGACCGTGTACGTGGGAGAGACGTGAAGAGACGTTGACTGGGTAGCTGCCGGAGCAGATTTAGATGTTGGTCCCGCAGTCTCGCTGGCCTTGCCACCGACGGCCGTCGGTTGGGTGGTTGTTGTCGATTTGTGAGTGATCTCGTACGCAGCGAATAAGGCAATGCCCACTAACTGAAGGAACGGTCAGTTTTGCAGCACATTCTCAAGTAGGAATTTGCGTACGATCAAGAAAGCAATAAGCCAGACCCAACGAGACATCCGACTTATACCGTTTTGTGTCTTAACCAACCAGGAACTAAGAAGGGGAAATAAGGGGTGGACATGGAACGAAATGAGAGAGCGACGAACCTGGGCCTCTTCTCCTCCTTGGCAACCACGCTAAATCTCCTCCAGAAATAATCACCGCGTTCACCCCGCTTCGGTAAGAGGTTATCCTCTGAATTACCGCGTATGATTACGTCACTAGCAAACTTGACATCCGTTTGGGGTGCAGGAGACTTTGAAGGGCGGGCAAACACGGGGGTGATGGGAGTCATGGGTGGTTGTAACGGATGAGGGGTGCTCGGTACGACAGGTCTTGGAAATGCAGGTGTCTGATAGATCGGGGGAGGCATGCGGGGTGCACCCATGTCGGGCTGCCTACGGGTGGCAGATAATACCTGAGGGACTTGGGACATTTGAGGGAGACGGGATGACTCTGGGGAAGTGGAAGGAGGCATCTTGAGGGCCGAAACGGGTGCTGGGTATCCTGGCCGAGGGGCAGCGAGTGGAAGGGAGACAGGTTGTCGGGGTGCTGTTGCCGCTGTCATAGGTGGGCGGTGCCTCTGGGTCGGACTGGTGTCGTCTTCATCGTCATCTATGTTACCGTTGAGAAAACCCAAGCCAACGGCTCCAAAACCTGATTGACGACTTGCGTCGTTATTGTGTGCGCTGTACCTGGAATGCAGTTGAGATAGCAGAACCATCTGTCAGTGTGAAGTCTGACGCACATGAGCTCGTTGTCCTGCAGCGACTCTCAGCCTCGTAGACGGGATCGTCTGGGTGTGATACACAAACGCTAATAACTTATATCAAGGGAGCGGAAGCCTCTGAGTCTAGCAGCAGGGCAGCTTCGAGGCAGCGAGTGGGTCAGGATGTCGGAGGGCAAGGGAGTCGAGATGGAAACGAAACAAGAACTTTTTGTGTATTGCAACCCGTCGACTACGGATCCAAATTGCAACCGTCTCCACACTCAGATCACAAAAAAAAAGACATTCCTGGGATATTTTATGAACTTCGGCTATGTAAACCAATAACGTGTCCCGCTGCTAATCAGATACACCGATAGGATACACCGATCTACGGACTAATACTGCCACTACTCAGTACTATTAGTGTAGCACATCAGAACAACACTCACGTGACACGTTTTGTTTGGTGGTGTTGTCACATTCATTGGCGAGACGCGTCGCGTGGCTCCGAGCGCGTCGACGTCCCACAGCAACCCCCTTTCGTCGCTCCCTTTACCATGGCTAAGCGCAGGAGTAGCCTGTTGACAGTGATGATGAGGACCCGCAGTCCTCTCAGGCATCAAAGCGCGCCAGAATACAAGATAGTGAAGTTCAGCAACTTGGAGGAGTTCACCTCCCAAACGCCGGAAAAGAAACCAAAGGTCAATGGTAAAACAAAGGACGAAGGCAATAGTAGTGACGAGGGAGAGATAGACATTCGTGACGTCAATGAAGAGGGCGAAGAGTTCGAGAAGAGGTTCGAAGAGGAGAACGGTGATGCCATTCGGCGGCGTCTCGAGGCAAGGAGTCAAGTCGTTGGGGTAAGAGTACTGCACTAAAGTTTGGGGAACGACACACTCACCCTGGAGCACAGGGAATTGCGGACCATGGTATCATCGAGTGCATTGAAATGGCGAACTTCATGTGCCATCCTCGTTTGAGATTCACTTTTGGACCACAGATAAACTTCATCATTGGTACGTCTACATATCTGGTCTTGTCAAATGCGATATTCATCCTCATTCCGCAGGTCATAACGGGAGTAAGCAACGTTGTCTGTGTCGGCTAAATTCACTCTCATATGTGTGTATAGGTGGCAAGAGCGCTGTATTATCCGCAATCACCATTGCTCTCGGCGGAAAGACTATTTCAACTGGTCGTGGATCTGGACTCAAGTCCTTCATTCGTGAAGGTCAAAAGTGAGCACCGCTTAAATAGTTACGTGGCACCGGCGGTTGACGAAACCGCGACAGCAAAGCAGAGGTAACCATCACACTCAAGAACCAAGGCGAGGAGGCATACAGGCCCAAGGATTACGGTAAAAGCATTGTCATTACGCGAACCTTCACTAGACAGGGTTCGTCGTCCTGGTCAATTAAGAGTAAGGATGGAAAGAAAATATCAGACAAGAGGGATGAACTGGCTGCGATTTGCGACCACATGAACATTCAAGTCGACAACCCGTTGAATGTCCTCACTCAGGGTTTGTCAAGTACTTGGATTGTTTGTACAGACTAATGACCAGCACACCAGATGCTGCGCGTCAATTTTTGAGCGCTTCTCATCCATCTGACAAATACAAGGCGCGTTCGTCACCGCATACATCCATAAACAACTAACTGTCATCCCCAGTTCTTCCTCCGCGGAACCCAACTGAGCCAGCTTAGCGAAGAATACGATTTGTGCCTGGCGCATGTTAACCAGACTAGGAAGATCTTGCATCAGAAGAAACAGGCTCTCCCTGAACTCAGGGCAGCATTCAAGGAGGCCACCGTGCGCTTTGAAGAAGCTTCGAAAGCACGTGAACAGCGTCATAAGGCTGACGAGCTCAAGAAAGAGTTGGCATGGGCACATGTGGCCGCAAAACAGCATGTAGATTTCCCAATCTTCCTACGTGCGAACTTGTAAGATAACCTTTAAATGCCCAATCACAGGAAATGGAGGCAAAGTTTCAGGAAGTCGCAAGAGCACAGCAGCGTCTGCCAAAGATTCAAGAGAAAGTTGACGGTGCGGAAGTAAGTGCCGAACTTTCCTGGTGTATATTTTAACTCATACGACCCTGATTGCAGGCCCAATTCAAGGCGGCCTCTGACGAGGTCGAACGACTTGAACGAGAGTTTGCTGATCTTGGTAATATCGACCACCTGAACCAGAAGGCCAAAGAATTGCAAGATAATATGCGAGTCAACAAAAACTCCTTGAACCAATTCAAGGTGAGCTCGGAAATCTCGAGCCCTGGCGTTCTTATGTATATATACTTCCGCAGAATGATGAAAGAGACATGAGCGCTAGTTTGACCGGCCTGAACAAAGCCATTCAGGAATATGACATTAAAATCGTTGAAGAGACCCGCCGTATGGAGACACATACGCTGGCTAGACGTGAGGAACTCAACCGACGCCTTGAAGAGGCCAAGCAAGCCGTCGCCGCCGCCGAACAGGCTCACGGAAAGGTCTGCGACGAGAAACGTGCCAAGCTAACAGCCACGGATGACTGCAAGCAAAAAGGGATGGCTGCACAGAACCAGATGAAACAAGCCCAGGAGCGCATCCAGGAATGCAATACAATGATCAACCGGTGCAAAGACCGCCAGGATAACGTCCTGGCTCCTTATGGGAAGGATATGAAAAATATCCTTGAGCAGATTAAGCAGATGAGGTGGCACGGAGACACTCCAGTAGGTCCCTTGGGCTTGCATGTCCGATTGAAAGATCAGACGTGGGCACCGTTGCTACGGTCGCAACTCGGAACTTTGATGAGCGCCTTTGCATGTACTGATCCGAGAGATCGTCCTCAACTGAAGCGATTGTTTGACCAGACGAGGAAGTGAGTGTCGCCGTCTATCAAATAGACAATCAACTGATTATCCGTTTAGTCACCATATCAATATCATCATCTCGGAGCGGGATGAATTTGACTACAGCTCTGGTGAACCTCCTGCTAACGTGCTCACTGTGTTGCGTGCATTGGAGGTAAGCAGTCTATGGCTAGCTATGGCGTAATGGTATTCATCTCAAGGTGTTCTCTGTAGATATCCGACCCATATGTTCTTCGTATCCTGATTAACCAGTCGAACATCGAACGGACCATCCTTGGACACAACCGGAAGGCCGGTGATGATATCCTCCTGGGGCTGCGCAGTGGGGTAGCCTGGACCGCCGATTTCATGCGTGTCACAAGATACAGGTAAACAGCTTGGTGGTGTGACGATTTCGCGGGCTAATTGTATTTACTTAATGATTACAGCGAGGGTGGTGGTTCATCGATCAAGCTGAATAGAATTGCGAACGCAGACCCGCGGCAGATGCTGTTTACCGCAACCGATAATGCCACGGAGTTACGGTGAGCTGATAGTACTCGACTGTGCTCACTGAGACTGTCCCCTGACTTTGACACAAGTGATTGGCAAGAGAAGTTAAGGGTCGCAGAAACGACCTATCAATCTGCTTCAGCTGAATGCAAGCGACTGATGGAAATGTATAATATGATCACGCAAGAAAGCAGAACACTCGACGTAAGTTGGAAGTGGGTCGTTTTACGCTCCGGCTTTACCGAGCTTTCTTGCAGCAAAGGGAGCGTGCGGCACTTGGAGAATCTGCGAAAGTTCAAGGTTGCACATTCACAACTCCAGGACGAAGCCAACGAGGAGATGCCCGCTGGCGTTACTCACTTGCAGACAGCCAAAGAAGTCCGCTTCGTTCTTTTCTGCATTGGCCTGCCTTGAACGTTGTATTCTTTAGGAGGCAGAAGAAGAGAAGAAATTGATTCTTCAGCAGTTCGAGGACCTGGCTCGCCGGAAGACGGCGATCAACGAGACACAGAATGGGTTATTGACAGAATTGAACCAGGTTAAGAAACAGATTCGAAATTTTGAAGAAACTCGGGGACAGATCACGGTATGGATTCCTCCCTTAATTGACATTGTATGCTGTAACCGTGCATATTCTAATCGTGCTTTGTACAGACGAACGTCGAGGAAGCTGTAACTAAGCGGCTGGATGCACAGAAGAACCGAAACCACTATACGAAGAAGTTAGAGGACGAACAACGGACGGTTAGAGATTTGGAAGCAGTTGCTGACACACTCCAACAGGAGTTCACGGTATGAATAAGGGTCATAGAGCTTTGGCCCTTCTTGCTGCTCACATATTCCACAGGACTGGACAGCGCGTGCCCGAGAGTACTGCGACCCCGTTGAAAACCCTCGCAAAGTGGCTGTGGTGCAGCGTCAACTTGAGTCTGTGCAAACCGCTTTGAAGGAGCGCGAACGCAGGTGAGTGTGCACGTATTGCCAGTGTTCTTTATGTAACTCACCGTCGCGTAGGCAAGGGGCGAGTGTCGAGGAAATGTCAATCGAAGTGAATAAAGCCAAGGCGGACCTTGATAACGCAGAACATGACCTCCGTACCTGTGCCGCTCTCAACAACGTTGGTAGCCATGTCCCATTTATGTCTTCCCTGATGCCAATGACTCTATTACAGACTATCAAGAAATCACTTGTCTTAAGGTTGGACAAGTGGCATGAGTTCCGCCGACACATTGCTCTGCGGTGCAAGCTCGTGTTCCAGTACCATTTATCCAACCGGGGTTACTACGGCAAGGTCTTGTTCGACCATGTGAACCAGACGTTGCAGCTCAAGGTGAGGTTGCAGCCTTTGTCTCAAATGCGACCTACTGAGATTGTCTTGAGGTCCAAACCGATGACCAAGCTGCAACTCAAGGGCGGGACAAGGATCCTCGGTCCCTTAGCGGTGGCGAAAAGTCATTCTCCACCATTTGTTTGCTGTTGTCTCTATGGGACTCCATCGGTTGCCCGCTTCGTTGTCTTGGTAAAAGGCTTACCCACACATAAGTGTAAAGTTCGTTAACTCGAAGCCCCCTAGATGAGTTCGACGTATTCATGGACGCGGTCAACCGCCGCATCAGTATGCGTATGATGGTACGTCCTTGGCCCTCGACGGCTCCGAAAATTTTGTAATAAATTCCAAACTGCCTTAGATCGACACCGCGAATGCTTCGGATAAGAAGCAGTATATTCTCATTACACCACAAGAAATGGGATCCGTGGTTGTCGGTCCTACTGTGCGCGTGCACAGAATGAGCGACCCTGAGCGTGGACAGGGAGTTCTAGCATTTGGAAACGCCTCCGCGTAAACGCAGCGGAATGTCCTCAACTTTGTGTTTATTCGTATGATATTCAACCCTACTAGGTACATTATTGGTCAAGTACGTGAAGGTACCAGTTTTAGCTGCATCTTATCGTCGTTACATCTTAAAGCTCAAGCATATACATAGCCCTGCGGGCACGCAATTGAATTGCTTTGTTACAGGGTAAATATCTAGACCTCCCCCTGAAGTTCGTTTTTCGACGCAACGAATCGTCTCTCACTCTCCCCATCTACTTTGCGCGTCCCCGTTTCCCTATGCGCGTTATATATCTCTCCATGGCCGAATTGTTCCACTCCTTCTCGACGGCGCTTCCTGCCTGGCTGACCATCATGGTGGGCTTCTTGGCTTGACATTCCTTGCACAGGCATTCCCAACCCGTGGTAGACGTCCTTCGAAGTTGCACCGGTCAGCGTGCTCGATGCAGATGGATTCTGCAGCGTTGGGTCATCCGTGGATGCGTTAGGGTCAACGACTGTGTCTAGCACAACACTAGCGGGTGGGGGCTGGCGACCTGCGGGGACCGTCACGAACGCCCATCAGGTAAACAAAGAGACATGTAAGGTTTGGTTTAGGAATGTTATCACGAACACTTACCCTCTGGTCGACCATCAACAATACCCTGGTTGAACTGGGACGATTTGTCCGTAAAGTCTGTCGCGCGGAGGGTATCTTTCCCTTCCAGTGAATGACGTTGCTTTGTCTGTGCGTTGGTCATGATACTGTCACTGAGTGAATAAAAAAGTCCAAGTGGTTTTGAACTGGACGGCTTGTTACAGTATTGCTTTGAACGACCAGCCTTTATATTCTTGCTGTCGGAGGTCAGTGGAACGGTGATGTCATGAGGTGATGTAATCCTCAGCTGGGGAGGGCCTTAAGCTCCAACAGTGCGCTCGCGCGGGTTTTTATTTCCTTTAGGTCACGGACCTGGTCCGTGTCGCTATGCTATATTAAAAACCCTTCGGGCACTCCTGGATGCTACAGTGAAACAGATGTACATTCTCAAAACACAATCCATTATGCTATCACCAAGTTTGTTGATAGTTCCCGTCACAGGTTTGCTCTGTTGCCCACGTACATCAAAACAAGAGTACGCTGCGACTGGTTGTGATATTTTGTACATGCCCCGTAAATTCATCCATCCGTAACACATCGGGGTTTCAGCATATTCCGTTCCATACATGTAGTGGTGTGCGACACAATCCAAACCTCATCGCAGTCGCAGTCACCTTCCTATACCCTAGCCGGAGTGCGCGGGCCGGTGCTATCTCAAACGACGAAAGAGTTTCCCAGACATGGGGCCTGGCAGCGTCCAGGAACAAAGGAACTTACCTATTGAAGGATACTGTAGGTATCCTCAGATGCAATGAGCTACTGAGGGAATAGTGAAAGAAACAAGTGGTAAGGAAGCACACAGCCAAGCAATCACAGGGGTTATATCTCCAACACTACCATGTCTCATAACTTGTCATCTTGATTTCCCTGACCAGGACTCTCACTAAGAAATATCGTACACCTCACATGATGCGCGTCCGTGGTGCTGCAAGAGGGCAGAAAGCGAAAGAGGAGGAGTACACCACATACATAGCCATATAGCCGCACAGCTCCAACGTCCAGCATCCCTAGAATGGCTAGTACCATAGTAATATGCAGGAGGTGAAATCGTTCTCGAAGACCACATTCGAAAAATAGTAACATGATGCTTACCTGAACGTCGGTGGAAACGAGATATTGTACCACACTATTTTTTAGGAGCCGTGTACGCGCAATTCCCTTCATCTCGCAGTCTAACCTTCGAACCACTGCCTACAATACTTAACTACCTCTGGTCGCTAGTTGACACATCATATGCGAACAGTACAGGTGGGGCTGTGGGGCTACTATTCATTTTAGCATGACAACGTCTTGAATAATTTGAGAGCTCCAGAGAATGATGCATCAGAGGGACAGGGAATGACGGAATCGCAGTCACGACCAGTCAGTGACGGATTTAAACAGGTTTAAACCATTTATTCGCTTCCTAATGCGCGCGCACGCGAGCCGCCGATCACAATGATCATGTTTCATGGAACCGCACATTTTGATCAAATGATGTACATAGACGGCGGCTGGCCAAAAGTCAGGGATGGACGCGCGCCTACCCGTTCCCGGACTTACCTTGGTCCATCTATCAGTTTCAGGACACAGTGCCCAGGCCGGTGCTTGATGAAGTGATGATACCCCTACCGAAGGGTCTGTGCTGCATGTCAAGCTGCATGCCAACCAAATTACGGCGATGATGCGGCGAAAGGTGTTTACACCACTAACCTATGCATGAACCCTACATCTGCGAGTGCCCACTGGTTTAGCGAGATCTCCAGCAATCCAAATGCAAGCCACACCCTGGCTCGTCCGCCTTTGAAACTGAAAAGCTATGCCTTGTGTCGTTTAAAAGCCAGGTCTGAGACTCTGGCTCGCCGCAACTCCTAACTTTTACCTCATGGCCGTTTATGACACACTCGTCGTCGTCACTTCGGCGTTCATCGTACTTGCGTTCGTATCGTCTTATTTCCGGCGCCCCCGCGCAGAGGAATTCCCCCCTGTGGTGTCCAGCTTCCTCCCGTACATCGGTACAGGCATCCAATACGTCCGAAACCCAGCTGGATTCCTGGGGAGGTGTTTGTAAGTGCTCATCCGTCGAACCTGTGCTGACTAGTATGCTGACACTACCTTGCATCCAGCAATCAATATGGCCCGGTCTTCAAAATGTCTATTGGCGGCCGACACCTGACTGTCATTTCCTCTCCAGACGGCATTGCAGCAATCTTGCGGGACCAGCACAACATTTTCAAAAGCGATTCCATCCAAATTGAACTGACCCAAGCGATCGCCGGACCGCGGGAGAACGTTCCGCGCCTGCAAGAGATCTTACAGCATCAGATAGCTCCCATGGTTGGACGTACCTTGGCCAAAATGTCCCTGAAGAAGTTCACGTCGACATATATAGCACGGCTGCTCCAGGAGATGAACAGTTTTGTGGCGCGTTCCGAGAAGGGGCCAAAGGCTGTGTCGTTAATGGAGCTCGTGGGAAGATGTCGGCTCGCAGCGTTGTGTCATGCATTTTTCGGCCCGTCGTTCACCGATGATATTTACGACGACATAAACTGCTTGGATGAGAGCGTTTATGCGAGGCTGTATAGGGTCCCTTTCGACTGGCGGCCATCCACAGAAGCGCGCAGGCGCCTCATCGGTCGACTCTGCGCGTACGTCGCTCAGGTGGAGGAAGGCAGCGCATTAGTGGATGTCATGACGGGTACACTCGACATCTTCAGGGCAAACAAGCTTACGACAGAAGAAAAGGCCTGGCTATTGCTTGTCTTCCTCTGGGGATTATATGCAAATTCGACGAACATGACCTTTTGGGCACTGACGGAAATTCTTGCGGACGGGAAGCTTGCCGCGCAACTGCGTGCAGAGATAGATAACGTGCTGCACGCGCATATGGATATCGGGAAGGGCGACGTTCCATGCATAACTGACCTCCCTGCTTTGCTTCGCACAGACACGCATGCGCTCGATGGGCTTCCACTGCTTGACTCGGTCGTCCAGGAGACCATACGATTGAGGCTAATATCAACTCCCTTACGACAGGCATCATGCGACACGGAATTGGTTGTAGATGCGGCAGCGGGTCAACGAGTGATAGTGCGCAAGGGGGAGTATGTGATGGCGCATCTGATGGGGACGCATTGGGACGGGCGATGGTTTGAGCAACCGGACAAGTTTGTACCGGACAGGTTTACGACGGGCAGGTATGCGAGCGGACTGGAGGGGTCTGATGGCGACAACTCGACACGACCAAAGCGAACCAAACTGCCGTTCTTTGGTTGGGGAGGCGGACGTGAAATCGTGAGTGTCCACCCCGCTAATGGTCCGGGCAGTCGAAGAACTGAAATGCTCTCTTTTCACCGTAGTGCAAGGGACGGCACCTTGCCGTCTATGAAATGAAGCTCCTCGTTGCGCTCTGCGCGCACCACCTACGTATCACACACGCGGACTCCGACAAACACGGATTCGGCCTGGGATCGACAAACCTGTTGCCCCCAAAAGCGAAAAAGAAAAGCGTCGGTGTTCAGCAGACAGAACATGATGTGATGGTGTGGTTGAACTCAGTAGAGGGAGGAAGCTGATCTGTTCGTAGTACTATATCTCCAAGACAAGTGCATGTTAGCAAGCGACTGTCGCAGGAATTGCTGTTGGCTGCCGAGTCAACTTTCCAATACTTCTCACAGGTAGTAGAATAAAACGTACAATACGTACCAACAATGCCAACCTACTTCATAGAATCGCACAACTTTGCTTGATCTCTTCTACGACATTTGGGATCTATCCTCTCCGTCGTCCGGGAACATCGTAGCCTCAAGGCTCTCTAGGTGTTGCATCCAACATTGACTCCGAAGACATGCGATGGAGAGTCAGCCGCCAATTGTGAGGCTGGCTTTAGAAGAAGTGCTCGTCCCCGCCGTGTCAACGGCGTAGAGAGTGGGGACGGGGATAGCTGTGTACCCCAATCAGGCTCAAGAGACGACCATAGAGTTGCTATCAGGAGTGAAAACGGTGTTAAGGAACTTGTTGTAGGGACCGTGAAAGTCCGCCTCGGAAGGATTCGAGGGAGACTTATTCGAACTGGTGTCGGACTGGGGCGGGCCAGGTTACGATGGCGCTTTGAAGACAAGATACGTGACCGTTAGTTCTGGAAGCTTGAATCAGTCTGCATTTAATTCATGGGTACTCTCACTGTACGATCGTCAATAGGGGTGCTGTCGAGCGCCGTTTTCAACTTCGCTGTCAGCTTCGGGCAAAGCCGAAAATGACTGGCAACTCTTGACTCATGGTCAACTCTGACTTCCTCCAATATTCGTGGGCTGGCTGAAGTAGCAGGCTCCACCAACGGTGCAACCGTTCATTACTTGTCGTTCATTTATGGGTGCATTAATCTTGCTGCTCGCCGCGCGGTTTCCTGAAGGGATAGCGACGTATTCTCAGCCAGTCATGAAATCTGGGTTTACTTGCCGCCCTATCCGCCTTTGCTACAAGTTCTGAATTGCCTGCTCACGATTGGCCTACCGTCTCTGGAGAAAAATCCATTTCCGGGGGGCTGCTGCAAGTACTGTGACACCTGAATTATCAAGTTTGATAAAATCCAGGCTCCGCAAGACAATGCGACGGCTTCATGCCTCGATCTCTGTCCCTGGAATAGGGCTGAGACAATGCTCTGCACACGATGCGTCTCCTTCCACTCGACCGCCACTGGCTCCGATATCATATTGGAAACGCTTCCAAAAGACATCCTGCAAGCACGTTCGATCCAAGGACCAAAAGACGGCAATCATATAAGACATTCAGAGCATGAGGACCTGTTTAAGCCACTCCTTGTAAGTTATGCAGGCCCCACTAGAATGTAGATACGACCATCGCGCGGAGACATTATCACAGATCTGCTGGTTGAGTAAAACTGGTAACTGATTAAGGAGCTAAGCTAGCGCTCTTCTATCGTTGTCAGCTTTATCTTTCTTCCGCGTGAAAGCACGAAAATATGCATGGTAAAGCAGGGGGGACACCTTCCCGCTTCAATGACGTTGAATTCATTTAGCGACAGTGGTCAATTGTTTTTGTGTAGGTGACATTTCATAAATGCTTCAAGGACTTCGCACGGACAACAAATCAAAACGGAAACAGAATTTGGGAACCATCAGTGTGAGCACTACTTGGTGAGAGGGAAACGACTGATAAACACCATGGCAGATCCTGTGACCTACCCCCCACTATACGCGACACTCCTCCGTCTTCTCATCCCATAGGTGAGCGCGGATCCTCCCACGCCGTAATGCGAGAGTTATGATTCACAAAGTACCTCTGCCCCAACGGAGTGAGGCGCACCTCCCAACCTGGGGGCAAATTCTCGAACATCACAGTGGCCGCCCGTGGATCAACCCACGTCGTCTTTTTATTGACATGATCCACAAAATATGGCCTGTCGGCTGCGGTATAGCGTTTTTCCCAGCCACTCGGTAAAGCAACAGGTTCACTCCACGTCGTCACTTTCCTATTATGATCCGCGAAATATGGCTGACCCTCGCGGGTGTAACGCTTCTCCCAACCACTGGGCAGTGATGTAGTCAATGGGTCCTGTGACGTGAAGGGAGGAGGCATAGAGGATTGAAGCACTCCCACGGAAGATGATGGAAACTGGTTCTGCTGAGGTCTCGTTGTAGAGATTGCGGGCGGACTCTGGGAATGCCGTGACGCAGGATGAGAGGATAGGGAATATTGCGGTTGCCTTGGAGTAGTATAAAATAAGAGTGAAGCCGGACTCGACTGATCAGCAATATTTTGCCGCATCGGCAGGATTTGTGACCTGCTGTGGGGCGACAGGTGAAACCGTGGAGTATTGGGGTTGCGGCAGCGCAGATGCGTGGCCAGTGATGATATCAGAGAATGAGAACGAAGTCTCTGATGACCGTTCTGAAGTTGTAGGTGAAGGTGAAGGTCCTGACCGTTGCGAAAGAGGCAGGGATGTGAGTACTCCATCTGTCTGTCCCTGTAGCCCTGTACTGGCTTGTGGAGTGCAGAGCTGTTCTTGGGACGATAGCTGTTCTTCCACCAGACCAGTGGGTGTAGTTAACGCATCTACGTGATGCTGCTCGCCTGCCTCGGTTTGTTGAATGGAAGATGGAATCCGCTGCCGTTGAGAGGCGGTGAACGACGTTGAGAAATGTCTCCCTGGTTCAGGAGGACGAACAGTAAAATCCTGTTGGCTAGAACTGGTTTGTGGAAGCAAGAGTGAATCCATTGGCTGCTGAGACGAAGCTGACGGAGATTCTTGTTGCTCTGCTGGATGGGACAACGTGGAAGTATCTATCACATCTTGCTGTGGTACGACAGCTTCTCGAGGCGAAGCCATTATTGTGCGCTGCGGGGAAGCAGATACAGGAGACTGTTGCTCTACCGCCGCTGGCAGTACAGCCGTCTGAGGTATATGATCTGCCCGCACACTCAGAAGGGAGAAAGAGACAAGAAGCTTGCCGCATGTTTGTCGGCCATTCGTCGTAACAATATCTCTAGTGACCAAGCCTGGAGACTGCTAGTAAACCACCGCACCACGAGACCGCGCAAAACACATACTGTCGGGAGTTTCAGAGTACTCAAGAGCCTCCACCCCCTTAAGCGTGACTGAGCCTGAAATTTTCGCCTTCCTCCTGAGAATATGCCCGTAGCAGACCCGAATAGTAATTGTTGACGTCCGCTTGACAGTGCTACAATGTTCGAAAGTTAAGGGCCAAAGGATAATATACCGCAGAGAAGTGCACGAAGAGCTCACATGTCAAAATGTTGGTTCCATGTAGGGTTGGACGTACCCTTGATAGATTTAGTCGTATGCGTTTGATCAGTGTCTACCGAGACCACCACGTAAAGGTCGGGTTGGCCTGGCAGGCTAATTCTGTCCTTGATAAGGGAATGCGCTGAGCGAACTGAGCTCGTTAAAGATCAGTGAGATATGCACTACAGAAACAAGGAATCTACAATATACCAGTGATCCTGACTATCTTAGTATCGTCTGCGGCAGACATCTGGGATCGACGGGAATGTCAGTGTACTTGTAGCAAACTGAAGAAGACTTACTAGATGATGCGGATGACTGTAGTCTGCAACATGTTCGTATCACTCCATTTGCCAGAGACGGGCACCAGGTAGTACTCACTAGGAGAGCACCTTCCAGCTGATCCTATTATCAATCTTAGGAGGTATTTAGACCAGAAACTGACTTGAAGCGATACTGAGAGATCGAGAAGAGTATATACGACAACGTATACTCCTGCACGCTCTCGAGCACGGCGACAAGGATGTACAGTGAATCGCTGGGGCAACGCTGGGCAATGGGCAGGTCGCTGGAGGAGAGTGCCCAGTCCACATTGCGGACTGCCCTTATTAATACGGCAAGACGCCTCGTTTCCCAGATCCTCGAATAGCAAATTGACCTGACGTTATATATAAAAATCAGCCAGGACTCGGACTTGGTTACCTCCGTGTTGTCGTACGCCAGAAACTTATGGGCTACCTGCATACTCACCACCCCACATAAGAGTGTGCAGTTACCAGAAGCCCCCTAAGTGCACAATCCTATACGAAAACCGCTCAGCTTGCTATAATCATAGCAAGCCCTCGCCACGCATGTGAAGACCCCAAAAACGGAAGCAAAAGATACAGTGCTTAGTCAGCAAAAAACAGGCCGGAACCAAACGTTTTGGAAATCCATCAGAATTCCCTTATTTAGAGCCTGAAGGATTGGAATGTTTTTGGATTCCCAGAACAAGTAGGCTTTGGAGGCATGAACGCAGGGTCATTCCGAGCAGAATATGTCGCAAAATCAAAGTCGAGGTTGTATATAAACAGGAGCTGCCGTTCCGGAATCACAATGATGTTGGCGGTCAATGCGTTGGGCAAATACGCGGAGCGGGATATTGACATCATCATGGGACATATTACAAGGTGGGGTGAACTAATTTGCCTATGTTCGCCTGGGAACCCCACCGGAACATTGATATCCCTGAAGTCACTCCGAGTCTGCTCTTTGCTCGATTATGAGTCATTCAGAGGCATCGTTGTTGTGGACGAAGCATACATTGACTTCGTGGGCGAAGATGCGTCAGCGCTCAGCAGTGTTGCTGATCAAAGATTACAGGTAATCTTTCCGTGCTCCCGAGCATCGGCTGTACACTACTCCCGCCTACGTCTTCTGCTAGCATTCTCGAAAAATCGTCATGTCGACACCAACGGCGAGCTAGATACGCCGCGTGAGCAAAATAAATTTTCTTCGCGACACACGTGGACAGCGGTGTCGAGTTCGAATGGGGGTTCTTCGCTGAGACTGGTCGCCAGGGGGTACAAGGGCTACATCTTCTACCCTGCGACCGACTTTGGACCCTCTGCATGGAAAATCCGCTCCACTTCGTACAAAAGAGTCGAGAGGTGTGGCGTTACCCGCTTTTGTGAATGAGTTCGTGTATGTCACGAGAAGGGACATCAAGCACGCCGTAAGAAAATAAAGTTTTTGGTTTCGAACAGCTCATGACTTACCTTCCCAATGACATATCTATGTAGCTCGCCTGAATCCACAAATTGTATTCATAGACTCACGCGCCGCACCCTCCAAATCACCTCGCAAATACAGTTGATCACCATGGTGCACTGCCAATGTACGTTCGTGGTGTCTGACTCCTGTGTTTGCGTAACCAAGAGCGCAAGAGAACAGAGATTCTTGGCGTATAACAACGTAAACTTGTCCGATGTAGGCTTCTCGGCGGAAGCCGAACAGTGTGTAGGTCGGGGGTATATGTCAGCGACCAGACTACGGATTCAGTAAGGCCATCGCATGGACACAACGTAACGCCGACCTTTCCATCGTCTCCAACCATGTAATCGTGCCATGTTGATATGGCATCCTGCACATCACTTCCGAAATATGCAACTACCATAGCAACGGTGCAGTAGCGAGTGAGAGGGAAGTGAGGCGAGACATCGTGAAGCCAGGAAGGTGACGGAGTCAGCTGGAGTTTCATTTATGACCCGTGATTTGTGGAGAGTGATAAGGAAACCTGATGCAGCAGCAGATGCAAGAAATTGGTTGCGATGACGGTAGAGTGAGACCGTTCCATCTGTAAGGTCTGACGTGTGCAACCTAAGTAGCGACGAAAACAAAGGGTTGGTTTGCCCCTCTAAGATGGCGCGTAAAGACAGCTGTCAATGAGTATTAGTACCGTCAGTAGGGAAATGACAAACACTGGCAGTGCTGCAGGTCGGTGGCATCTCCGCGGAGCACCCACTACATCACGAGAGGGTAAATGCTATCCCACAGTACTTGCTGCCTTTCTCAGTCCGCACGGAAATTTCATACTCCACTGTATCCTTGTGCACCACATGCTTAATTGTCAGATTCCAACGGAGCTCGCAATTCTATGGAAACCATTGCTAACGAGCAGGGTATTTGAAGAGGCTGTTCAGAGTACTCCTGAGGTGTGGCTATCAGCAGGTTGATTGGTATGGACATGAGGGTTCTAGGCGAGTGTAGAATGACGTCTTTGTCATACAGTGCACGCAGTAGCAAGCTAAGGGGATGCCGGGAAATGGTTTCGAGCCTGCAAATGCTTTGGTCAAGGGGCTTGACTGTTACCCCACCCGCGTCACCCTTCTAGGGCTTTAGAGGATGAACTCCCATCTAAGCATACATAATGGGAGTTCCGAGTGGGCGCCCACGATAGTGTTGACGAGTTTGGGGAACGACACACGCACGCGAGGATCGTGGCCAAGCGGCCGAGTGAGAAGATGGTGAAAGTCAGATGTGAGTGAAGGCGGATGGGGGGAGGAGTCTTTTGATAAGCCCGGGCCAACTGGGTGCACGTGCTCTTTTGCAACACACACACTTCTGCAGGACTCAGAATCTGCATTCCCATACGGTACTAACCGGACACCTCAGTCATACAGGAGTATCCAACGAGTGGCATAGAATGCGTTCACCAACCGTAATGAAGTTATGAAAGGGCTGCAAGTGCTGAAAACTAAACACTTCGGGTTCCCTCTGGACGCACCGGTAGGGATGTGTCATACCACCCAAGTTACAACCAGCCGCGCCCAAAGCCACTAGCCACAGCGCGGAAACCATTCTCACGAACCTCTGAGAAGAACAATTCATGCTGGTCGGCAAGGCGTTCGTTATTCCGCCGGATTTCTTGAATAACACCATGTTGACGTTCGCATAGCGGACACGTCGCCTCGCTACCAAGAAGACACCTACGAATTTCGGGCGCGTTAGTAACAGAGTCGGGATAACATCAGGTGTAAGGGGGTGAAGGCAAAAAAAAAAAGCGGTGCGCAGAAGAAGAATAGAAGAAAACATTTTACGCACCGTTGGTGGAAACTATGGTTGCACATGAAATGGATACTTGGTAAGTCGAGCTGGCCATTACATTGCGAGCACCGAGTCACATGGAACACCCTTGGATGCTCAGTATCCTTGAGCTCGTCAATCTGTTTGAGCTTGGCTTGCGTCTCGGACCGATAGGATGATATGAGTTGTTTATCCTGAGATACGAAGCACAATATATCAGCATGTCACGAACGACAACAGTGCGAAGTCTTACAGTTGCAATCTCTTCTTGCCCTTCTGCGATACGCCGCATAAGCCAACCTTTGACAAGCCCCACGCTCGCGACATTATTCCGCGAAAGAACCTGGACAACACTCAAGGGAGCCATGATGTGCTCGCGCTCAACATGTTCCAGGATCTCTTGTAGATCTGCTTGATGAGTGGAGAGCAGCTCAGGAGTGGACGTAAGGAAACGCAGTACCAGTGGATAGAGGTGCGGGTGGCCAGGACCATACTGACGCAGCGCTGCGATGACTTGAGCTGTCGGCGAGGACAGAATTCCCACACGGGCATGGCTTGAGTCGCCCGCTTCCGCGACCGCCCGCACGCCGGAGTTATACTGGTCCATCCAAAACCGCAATACATCTTCGTACATGCCCATTTTTTCCCATAAAAGCACGAGACCGGGTGCATACGAATAACTCGAACACAGAATCAGTGCATGAGTGGCATCGTACGGCAGATGCGAACTGCGAAGTAGCCGTAACGCCTTCTCCTTGTCTCCTTCATTTTGGTTCTCTGTGAGGTAAAGCTCGAGCAAAGTGTTCCATACAGCAGCTTGGTCCCTTCTCTCGGCTTCATCGTCTTCTGAACCCGGAAATTCCACCGCTATAGCCCCTTCCAAGCTTTGTCCCCATCGACGGCGCGCAACCATCTCCAAAAACCTCACGAAGTGGGTTGTGTGATCCACGAAGTGCGCAAAGAATAGAGTTGGTGAGGGACGTCGTATTGCTTGGGTCCCGCCGTTCACTTGTGCGGGTCCAGGTGAAGCGGTGGCTGCCCTCACATGTCCACCGGTCCCAGCACCCTTATCCTCTTCCGCGCCACTTTCACCATTCTCCTTTGCTACGTCCTGGTGGCTTCGCAACTAAAGCCTCGTCTCCAGCAGAAAGTGCTGGCGGTACCGCGGGCGCGCGGGACAAGGCAAGATACGAAAGATAGCTTGGCGCCTTCGCGTGGGTTGCAGGTAAATGGTCAGGCGGCGATGATTCCGGGAGGTGTCCTGCTATGGTGCAAAGGTCGATGAGTAACTGCGTTGTTTCTTCGGGGAGGTGGTCGAGAAGTGCTCTGCCATAACGTGCAAGGCCAGATTCTGCCTGTGGAAAGGCGGATTGTACCATCAGCGTTACAGGATGGATTCAGCAACGTTTGCCAGAGTAACGGAGAAACTCAACAACTTACACAGTCGCCTCCGGCTTCTCGCAGATAGGAAACCGCAGCGCTGTACCCATTGGTCTCCATCTTTCTTTCATCACCCTTTTCACTCTTCGCGCCAGTACCTCTTCCTGTGCTCCCGAACGTCAACTCCACACTACTCCCACCAACATCTTCCACTAACACTCTCAAATAATCGTCATGTCGACCCCAACGACGGGCCAGATACGCTGCGTGCGCAAAGAAACCTGCTTGGCGACACACGCGGATAGCAGTATCCAGCTCGAATGGTGGCTCTTTGCTGAGACCATCGCCAGGGGCTACATCTTCTACCCTGCTGACCGACCCCGGACCCTCTCCACGGAACACCCGACCCTCACTTCGTACAAAGGAATCGAGTCGTGCGACGTCGCCGGCTTTTGCGTATGCATTAAGCAGAAGCGTGGTGTGTTCTGCATGTGCGAGCCCGCGAGCGTGCAGCTCTTGAAGGTACGTCATAAGAAGAGGCGTCAAGCGCGCCGTAAGAAACTGAAGGTCATTAGTTTCGCCCTGACAAACAGATCGCCAAGGGACATCCCAGGCCCGGAAATGGAGCTGATTCCCAAGGGCAGTAACTCACCTTCCGAATGACATAGCTGGCCTGGACACCCCCAATTGTATTTATGTACTCACGCATCGCTCCTTCAAAGTCGCCTCGCGAGTACAGGTGATCACCGTGATGCCGGTGTACGTCCGTGGTATCTAGCCCCTGTGTTTGTGCAACTGAGAACGCAAGAGAGTAGAGATTCTTGGCGTATAACAATGATAATTTGTCTGGTGTAGGCTTCTCGATGAGGCGCGTAAGCTGAACAGTGTGTAAGCGCAGGGAATATGTCAGTGACCAGACCACGAGTTCAGTAGAATCATCGTATGGACACACTAAGACCGACCTTTCCCTCGTTCCCAACCACGTAAACGTGACCCCATGCTGATATCACATCGCGCACACCACCTTCGAAGTTTCCCGAATATGCAACCAGCTTGTTCTCCATATCAACCAGAACCACACGGCCCACTTCGCCACTAGAAGAGTTCAGCAGTCCTACTCCAGCAAGCGTACCGCTAGTGGGCGAAGCAACCATTCCGGCACTCCCCGCACCGAGCTTGCGCTGATTACCGACTGGCGCTGTGGTCGTTATTGGGGGGAACGGTGCAGGGAGAACCACCACGACGTAGTTGAGATGCGTACGTAAAGACTTTTTCTCGCCTACTCATCCGAATCAGAAATCACGACCCATGACTAGCATGCAATTACCTTCCAACGCATAGGACCCAATACGACCCCCCACCGCGCATGCATACAACGCCTCGTCCCGTCCAAGAGTCACCCAACGGCCCTTCCAATCGATACATGCACATTGTAAGCCTGCACCGATTTCATCAACCAGCACCGAGGACGGAGAAGAGACTTTGGGGATGAGAGGGTAAGAATAGGTCGAGGAGGTGGTGACTATGAGTAAATAAAGGGAGGGATTCGGTGGAGCATTGTGTGCATCCTGTGAAGATGAGCCGGTAGTGGGTGAGAGGGAAGTGGGGTTAGACGACGTGAAGCCAAGAAAGGTGACCGGTTCAGTGGGGATTTCATGTATGACACGCGGCTTAGGAAGTATGGTGAGGGAACCTGACGTAGATGCAAGAGATTGATCGAGATGACGGTACAGTAAGACTGTTCCATCCGCAAGGCCAATAGCAAGGAAGGCAAGGTCTGGCGTGAGGGCGAAACAAGATACCTAATTACACTTGATTACGGGTGGCGTGAGGGCGAAGACGGCGAAGACATACAGGGTGAGGCTTTCCACTAGGTTGAACCTTCGCTGACCGAAGAAGGGAAGGACCACTACTGCGTTTGTCAATCTTGCTAAGGTTCCATATCTTCATGACGGCAGAGCGAATATTGTCTTCTTCCTGTGATATGTATCAGAGATAAACTTCGAACCGGATAGTCGTGGAGGTTCATACACCAATGGTTACTAACATGCCCTGTCTCTCGATCATGTGCGTGACCCTTCCACCGACATGTGCAACCCAACTAGCGACGGAAACAAAGTTCTGGTTGAGAATATGAATGCTGCCATGTATGTCGGCGACCACAAGACCCGCAATCGAGGACGTCATCGCCGAGATTTCCGGCGCATTCTAAGATAGCACGTGAAGACAGGAGAGCAGTACCATTCGCGAAATGACATACCTTGAATATCTCAGGACAGCTCTCGGAATCGTGGACATCTTTGACCGTTTCAACGTCAAAGAACGTGAATTGGCGGTGCTGTAGGTGGGGGTGAAACCTGGCACGGTCGTTTAGGATAGTGAGTCACTGTACCGCTGTGGATGTAGCTGCCATTCGGGAGTACCTACTGCCTCACTGTGCGCGGCACTATGTATGAGTTTGACTGTGTTTGGCTATCTACGCTAAATATACGGAGCTATAGCAGGGGGAGAAGAGTGTTACTGTAACGATTTCCAGAACTTTGTCAATCTTTCAAAATAACAAAAATCTAGCGGGTGAGGTTGATGTGATACTAAATGATGTTCCGTCACAAACAAACTACCACAACAATTTTATGCTGATCTGCAAACTGGAAAACCTCCAAGGCAAAAGCCATATGTATCCTACAAGCCCAATCATGTAGTGAGAAGAGAGCCTCTGAAAATGCAGTAGCCATCCAACCATGGTTATCTTGGGAATCTCATCGAAATCCGCCATGCTTGTAAATGGGATTGAATTATTGATGTCCCGCATTGGGTTCAATTCCACGGACTTTCAGCCCTTTCTGCAGACACAAAGTTGAAATGCCACACAGATGTAGAGAAGGAAGACAAACCTTGCCGGTCCATCGATTCCCCTTGACACGATTGCACCCCCATAATTTTACTTCTTCTAATTTTGGCATGGCAGAAATAATTTCCTTCATGACAAAATCATCCACTTCACGGCACCAGCTGAGGTCCAAACGCCTGAGTCCTACTGCACATTTTAATAGCACGAGTGCATCAGTCGAAAGAGAACGCAGGCCGTTGAGGTTGAGGTGAGTCAGCGATGGTCCCGAATGGTCAAGTAACGCGGTGAGCGTGGCATCAGAAAGGATATCGTTGCGCGCTAAAGAAAGGAAGTGGAGAGGAGGATTGAGGCTATCTACGCCCTCAACACGAGGGACGTCATCTGTGGTGTCCATGGTATCTTCAGTAGAATCTTGCTCGTCAGTTTTGCTCGCCCAATATTTGAAAAAACGAGCGACGTCTTCGTCCACTAAGCTCTCACAGCCTTCCATAACTAGGTCGGATAACGCGCGCGCGCGGTTGCCAAGCCCGTGTCTTAACACTGTACCGGTGAAGCCGACATGCCACGAAGGATTGAAAGTCTCGAGTGTGCTACCATGGCGCTCCAGCAGCTTGAGCCATCCATCTTCGTCGATTCCAACTCCTGGGCTTGCGAGGTCCAACACTTTTAGCGGGGGAAGAGCACACAGAGGTTCTACAAATTCATCATTGAGTAACCCAACTTCGCGGAGCTGCAATTCCTCGAGCTCGGTACAACTCTCAGCAAGTTGTCGGGTACAGTTGGAGTCAAAGCGAGGGCTCTGCGTGATGCGAAATGAGCGAAGATTAGGTTTGGAACGAAAAAATTCAATCCAGGCTTCCACGCGAACCAAGAAGGGTCCGAGAAGAGTAATTGAAGTTAAGTGAGGAAGTGACCTGGCAAAATCCTCCATCACTGATGATGTCAGGCGACCACAGAAGTCCAGGTGCAAGTGCGTTAAATTGGGATTGAGATTGGCAAGAGTTGTAAAAGCCTGGGCGGAAAGGTCTAGAAGAGGATCAGCGAAAAGTGTCTAGGTCACGGACGGTGTGGGCCTACGGGTAGCGTCATAGAACCGTAGGGCCTTGCTCCGCACATCATAGAACAAGCGAGCATTCTGGGAATTCCTAAACAGATAGAATGCAGCTTTAGGCGTCGATAATGATCTAAGAAAGAGTTCACTCACAAGCTTCGGCTCTTCCCTAAGGCTTTGGAAATCTCATCCATGTTAACTGACCCAATATCACCCAGTGCCTCCACATCGTCGATATGTTTACTGATAAGCTAGTGGCATCGACAACGCCGCACTTCTAAGCAAGCTGCTGCAAAGAGAGGAACAAAGCTACTTACCTCAACGCAAAGAGAAACCAAAGTTGGTAAGCGACGCTCTTCGAAATTGACAAATTCACGTTTCTCAGTAGGCGCCTTGCGCTTTCTGGGAGCGGCAGGTTTCTTGAACGGGTCGATACCCGCAGCCTTTACGCAGTCATGGCAGAGATACCCAGGCGGCGGATCGGCGGCCATTGTATACCTCGTCTGATGATGTGTTTAGCTTGGCCCGCAACTGGGTCGGGAAGAACATATAAGACTAACGACTGTGAACTGCTTTGTGCATTTCGCACAGTTCTCAAAACTACCAACAGGCGGTTTCGGACTGCGACTTGCGCCCGTAGCTCTCATGTTCCTTGATAGTGCTGTATACTCGTCATCCGACGAGCTTTGATAATCACCATCATCTTTCGCTTTCTTTTTCGCTTTTGCTTTTGCTGCTGCAGTTACTTTCCCCTTGCCAACTCGAGCCTTTTTGGCAGGTGATTGTTCCTCAAGTTCGTCGAGTTGATCAGACGCGTAACCGGAGAGCTGACAATACGAACGTTCAGTACAACTTGTGACTGTAACAGTGAATCTCACCCGTACTCCAGACTGACCCTGTGCGCCAGAAGTGGAATCTGGCGCAACATGTTCCGACTCGATGCCGTTGCTAGCGGGGGGCTCTATTCCATTGTTGTTACTTGGATCTGTGACCGGCTGCTGTGCGCTAGACTGGCCCTGGTTTCGTGTGGCGACACGCCGTGCTATGAGTTCAGGGTTGATGCCGGATTCCTGAGTTGTGAACTCGGTGAGGAAAGTAAAACATGATGCTCATCAGGTTTGCGTTACCCTTAGGAATTCGGTGAGGGCAGACGTCGGACCCCGTACGTTGTTGCGTCTCCTGCTCATGGAGACTCTTGACAGGAGTCACTGACGCGTCTCAAATGACTCACGTCTGAGTTTATCGGAGAAATGTCACGTGATTTAGTTTGGTTTCGCGCCGCGGCGCCAGTGGACCATCCCCTCGAACCAAACTACGGAGAACTCGTTACCGTGTCCCAACTCTCCCACTCTACCGCCTCGATGGCCGAATATATCTCAGTAATCTTGGTAGCACGTCCGGTACCCTACAAAAAGTGCTTAACTTTGAGGTTCGCTTGATCATGTGGTCATGTTGTATGATGTGCATACCATTGGCTCTTCCCCCTAAAGCTTTCGTGCATGCCTCCGAAATTCGACATACTTCCACCTGCATTCCGTAATTTTGCTTGTGCGGTTAAATGGATGTGCTGTACGCTTGTCCAGGCTTACATATCAAGTGAGTAAAAGATGTCATCAGAATACCATGAACCCCATGAGAAACCCGTCTCCGTCTTCGATGAAAAATTGGGAGGAGCTGCTGGGGTTTCTAGAGACATTCAGCTCTCCAAACCTCGTAGCGTGATGTATTGCTACATGTAACGAAGAACATGTAACGCAACAATGAATGCCTCCATGGTTTACCTTTCCCCAGCATCTGCATATGGCATGTTGACATTTGGTCTGTAAAGAGGACAGCAAGTAGTGTGTAATCTTAATTCATTGTCTCTATGATTCTCTTACAAGCATACCACTGGATTGGATCTCTTCGGTCATGTAGAACGCAGGTTATGCTCTACTTTATACCATCGAATGTGCATCCCCCGTCCGGGTGTGTAATGTGGACTGACACTATGGACAACGTTGGGGCTGTATACAATGCCAGCAGCGTATTCCTTGCTAAGCAGCACGAGCATCCGAACGTCGGTCACTCCATGAGCTTTTTGCCCTCGTCCTTAAACCGCTTGAGTTCACTCTGCCACGGTTGCCATACTTCACCATACTTCCGGAGAAGGGCCCCCAACTCCTCCCTTTGTTCTCTCTGCGTAACTTGAGCAACTAAACTGAATCATCACATGGACACGCACCAAATTCCACGGTTCCTCGCCAGCGTAAACGTCGGTAAACAGATCCCTCAAATCACTCTGCTTCAAACTTTCTGCCTTCCTAAGTACAGTCAGCACGTCCTTCTTCAGCCGCGACTTGAGAGCCTCTTCCTCCTGATCATTCCACCAGCCTCTCGACTCCATAAATAGTCTAAACCGCGTGATCGGGTTATCGATCTTCTTCCTGTTCTCGACTTCCTGTCTCCCGCGGTACGCGAAGGAGTCGTCGGAAGTCGAGTGGTGCCCAACGCGATAGGTCATCGCCTCCACTAAGACAGCCCGACCACTCGCTAGACATCGCCTCTTTGCCTCAGTCACGGCATTCATGACCGCCAATATATCGTTCCCATCCACGCGAACCGTGTCTACACCGTATCCAGGTCCCCGTGCGGCGATACCGTCACCGGCATACTGCTCATGCGCGGGCGTGGAGATCGCGAATCCGTTGTTACGAGCTAAGAAGATCGTAGGACACGGAATCGTTGATGCCAGGAGCATTCCCGCATGAAAATCTCCTTCGGAAGCTGCGCCTTCTCCAAAGTAAACACAGGCAACATTCTTGTGCCTACGGGCGGGATCCCGTCGGAGTGCATAGCCTACACCGGCAGCTTGGGGAATCTGAGTGGCTAGAGGTGACGAGATCGTATGGAAGTGGTGTTTCGGGGATCCAAAGTGCTGCGAAAAGGCTAGTGTCTGGTAGGACAATGTGATAGTGGGATAACGTACCATTGGCATTTGACGCCCTTTGCCCGACTTGTCTTCAAGATTGCCAAAGCACTGTGCCATGATACCGTCAATCCCAAAGCCTCGCCACAATAGGACACCCATTTCGCGGTACTGTCCTATCTCCGATTTGAGGCTCCTGTGAAGGGGTGGGGCAAAACGTGCATGCTCACCTAAAACCCTGGCGTGCTGTCATATTCATACTGGAGATCCAAGGAAGCAGAGAACTTACTCGTCGTCTGGTGCCAGTGCTGCGGCCGAGCCGATAATAGTTGCTTCTTCGCCATACTAACGACGATGTTCAGGGGTGTTCCTGGAATAATACGAAAGAATGGTTCCTCACAGAAGTCATCTAAAGTCAACGTGCATAAACTAGAGAATCACAGAACACGGCAAATGAGCATACGTAGAACGAAATCTTGCCTTGACGCTGCACGTTGTAAAGGACGTTGTCTACAGTCGGTAAGCGGACCATGTGCTCATATCTGACATGATGTTACACTTCTCTGCCTGCAAATTTGGCCAGTGAGTATGACGCACAGTCTACGAGCGAATTCTTCATTAATCTGCCCGTGGGGCATAAACAAGGTGAGGCGTGCTGGCAACGGACCAAAGCGGAACAAACGGACCTCGGGAAGTTGTCCGCCTTCCACCGGAATGCCGACGCCGTCGAGTACTCTGTAAGTGGGTATCTGTCCCTGTTCACTGGTGAGCGAATTGAAGAACCGGAGCTCAGACACGATGGGGGAGCGAAAAGTGGGAAGAATTCCTTGGTCCTTGGTAGGAACCGTCATCGTTGTTGTCGTCGAGAGCGCACGCCATGAACGTAGTTGGGTGTTAAGGTGAGGGAGAGATCGTATAACTCTGATCATCGTCGGAATAAGCAGAGAGGTGGGGTTGGTGGTTACCCCGGATCTTGAGGCGGCGTGTGACAAAATGGACTGCAAGCTTAACTTACAACAATGTTTGTCACTACGAGTCCGGTGGTAGCTTGAGAGCCTCCTCTGCCGCTTTCCGTCGACCACCCATCATCAATGTCACGTAGTCTGCTCCAGCAAGGACGTGTCCTCCATCTGCACCCTTTGCAGCGGATTTCCCTTTGTTCTTCGCTTTTGACCTCAGGTCCGCGCGCTTCTTAGCCGACTGGATCTCCGTCGTAGCAGGTGCACTCGACATTAGTTTTGGTTTTGGCTCGGGATGAGGAACGGGTTGCAACTGTGGCTTCTTCATCTGTTTCTACGGAGCAACGACAAGAGGATGCAAGCGCTCAGCGCATTGGATGTGTACGAGTAGAACATCAAACTCACTACCCGCTTATGAACTTTGGCACTCCTACCCATGGTAGCTACGAACCAGCTAATCTGACCGCAGATATGATCTTCGCGGGTACTCTTCAAGAAAGATCTTTCATGTCCAAAGCACCCAATAAGAAAAACACGCAATGCTTAGTCAGCAGCTTTATGGCCAGGGGCATTGATTGTGCATGCTGCTCGTCTCGGAATAACGAGGACGACGAGTCGGTAAGTCCGGTTTCATTTTCCTTCCTTCCACTGTTTCCACACGGAAACCTCTTGTTCTCCTCGAGTTCCAGAAGCATGCGGTCTTAGCTTCAACTGGAGGCAACTCGGACTCGTGTCATTCATTCTTCGACCCCGCTGTTCCTTTCCAGGTATGATTATGCTCGTCTTATGCATATGCTCGGCTGCAGTTTTGCGTGCGTGCTGCGCGAGGCAGCTTGAGCAGGTTTTAACCTGGTCCGAGTCAGTTCGGAACACACGCGGATTCATGAATACCGTGAAGTAGAAGACGGCCGTCCACAATGTTCAGTGCATGCTGTCTTGTCGGTGGCGCTGCATTATTGTACTTTCACAAGGTTACACGTCCATCACAGCGAGTATGTGCCCGTGTACGTAGTTTCGATCCGTTCATATCAGGTACATTCGTGTCGGCCACATAGAAAAGCGATCGTCCGATAGGTCAGGTCTGGCCGCGAGTATGCTGTATTTCACAACACCCGTTTCCTTGCCCTTGAGATTCGGTAGCCGATGACAAGGCTTCTTACACGTTTTGAGATCGATATGACAACCCTTTGCGATTACAGGCTCTATCATCCCTGTGCCTCATGACATTTTGATAGCCTATCGCCACTTCCTCCTGTGAAATCGGCCGTTCGCTACAGCCGCACTGCAGTTGGTGCTGTAGGACTTCATATAACTTTTAGCCAGCATGCACCTGCGGCCAGGTAAACTTCCTTTGAATGATGGAAGTCTTGGGGGAGCATCGATCCTTGTGCAACTCTACTGGGTTCACTGTATCCCTTGGTGAACACATTTCGTAGATACCCAACCAGCAATACGCTACTTTTAAGCCACTATGAGCATCTTTCACCTTGAAGACTCAATTCTTCCCAGATGCTAAGGGACTACATGTGATACACCGCGAGCACTTTCCTGTTCTATCATAAAACTGTGCATGCAGACCCTTCCGCATTCTTCAACAAAACTCACTTCGGAGAATACTACTGACCGCTGCAGTCAAGATGCGTGTCGTGAGACCAATTTGTCCGTCAGTTCCCAAGCATTTGGAAAATCGAAGGTAGAGACCGTAGGGAGGTCATATCGCCTTTGTAAATGCGCACAATTAGCTAAACATCACAAGCCTGAGCTAATCGTAGAACAGCCCCATAACAAGGAAGTAAAAAAAAAAGACAGCAAAGGAGGGATATCGCGATAAGTCGAAAAGTCCAGAGCAAAGTCCATTCAGAGTTCGTCAAACTGCGGTTGCACCAGTTGGCGTTCTACTGTGATCTGGGAGAGCGTTGGTGTGTTTCCGTGGTGCCGCGATCCTGAGAAACGTCATTCAAATTTCAATTTCAGACTCGTTACGTGCGACTGGAGAACTTACAACTTATTGACGAAACTGTCCGAGCCGGTGGAGTATACAAGTTCGTAAGCCAACCCTCCAGCCTGCATCCCAAGAATGGGGCCGAGAATGGGACACCACAGCCAGTATTGGTTCCTGAATGTGAACACTACGGAGAAAGTCAGTACTTCCTCGATAGGAGCTATTTCACAAATCACGAACCATCTTTTCCGTAACCGACCATAGCAGTCAAGATCCGAGGACCCAAATCACGCGCCGGGTTGACGGCGGCACCAGTCTCCATGCTGAGCGCGACACCGATACCAAGAGCGGCCATGAAGACCGTGGCTGGGACGAGCCAGACAGGGGTAGGGCCGTTCCTCTTGTCCGTGGCAGCAAAAATAGAGATTAAAAGCATAGCAGCTCCCAAAAACTGTCAAACATCGTCACCGCCTGACCATTCAAATGCGGGCGATGTTTACTTACCTCTGCGAAAAAGCAGGATACCGAGCTCATGTAGTCGGCCTAACATGCTTGCATCAGTTTAGTTTACAGGGGAGTTCGGAGCGGTACATACCGCGTAGGTTCCGAAAAGGTCGCCCGTCCCCGAGATGGTGCGAATATTTGACCCTCCCTCGTAAGCATCAATAGCATGATAGTAGTTGGCGTAAATAATTCCACCACCACAAAGGGCACCAAGCAGTTGGGCAATGAGGTAATAAGGTACTTTTTTCCACGGGAAGCCGCGGAAGGAGGCGAAGGCGAGGGTTACCTGGCCGAAAGTCAACTACAAGACGGCATGAATGGATCGTAAACACAAACCGCTGGGTTAATATGACCGCCGCCAGAAACCAAAACGCCCAGACAAAGGCCTTTATGTGCGGTTAGTACGGTCGAAAATACGGTGAGTTCTCCCCTTACCAACAGCCCAACCGAAGTTGGAAGATAGGTAGTCCTATAAACCAGCTCTGTCAATTCAAGCTGCGAATTACGAGGGGGATCTACTCACTCCACTGGGGGTGGCGGAAACCGCTTTGTTCGATGACAGGACGACTTGGCAATTACTACCGCAACCGAAGATAATAAGGATCATAGTACCAAGGAATTCTGCAGCGGGTTCCCGGATATAATCCCTGAGAGTAAAGTGGTCTCATGCGCCACAGGAGGATGGTAGGGGTGGCACAAACCTGATCTTCGACCATCGGTTCGGGTATTGGCGGTCGTCAGTCAAACCTGCAGGAATCACCCCTCCGGCCGTCTCATCCATCGGTTGGGTATACGTGCTTGACGAGTCGGAGTGACGTGGGGAGGGCTTCTGAGACATGCTGACAAGAACCGCCGATGGAAGTGGACTCTGCAGTCGAAGGACTGGGGGGGCACCACAGTTCGATTGTGGCCTTTTTATGCGGGTCAGCAATCATTAAAAAAATTATTGCGGACATACATATGTGGGGCCAGACGGCTCGTGACGACCAGAACCGATGGGATCTCTGATTTTGCAATATTGATTTTACCGCACAAGGAACTCGTGAGTTCGGTAAACAGACGAATCCCATTGGTAACAGCATGATGCCCACGAGATTAATTTCCCGAGCAGGCGGAATCCGGGAGGCCGACCGCTGATTGAAACATGAAGCACGTAACAGCTCGTAATCCAAGATGTTCGCTTCGCGAACCGAACGGTGGGACACCGAATCAAACTCAATCTGTTGAGTGATTCGATCTCAGTTGCCACTGCGGAAGATACACAAGATCATAATGCAGACCCCAGTCGAGTCCCCAAGGCGGCCGGATAAACTGACACGGGAAGTTGTGTGGGAAAAAATTCACTCCACGCTTTAACTGAACTGATTCGAAGGGTGTTCAGGGTGTTGAGCGGATTCCGAGTCGGTGAAGCTGAACAAAAATATTTTAGCGTTCACTGTTTACTAAAGGAGTATAAGCTAGTACCTGGTAACACGGGGTCCATAACACCTTCCGAGCGCTGGTGGCTGTGGAAGCGTTAGGGAATAAGTAATAGACGCTCGGAAACAAGCGTGCCGTAATTGGAACGACCTCGAGCAGCTCGAAGTTACCTAAACCGGCAGCTCGCGCCCGATTTGTCTCCGAGCATCTAACACAAATCTTCAAGGTCGTCGCCCCAATCCTGAGGCCTGACCTACAGTCCCACGGTAGAACAGGCGACCAGGGTCATTAAGAATTTGCCTGGCCTGGGCCTCGGCACACGATCAGCCACTGCAAGCGTATTCGTATGTGACTGGCAAACGACTCTTTGATAATAGCGTGTTGGATGAGATAATCATAAAAAGCGGAGTACGGAGATGGGCCTTCTATGAAGATGACAGTTGCTATTAGCTGCTAAGGAGGCTCATTTAGACCACGTACCGGCATACATACAGTCGAATTGTGAGGTTGAGCCGAATGGAAAACGAGTGTGTACTTCCGACACGGAACACGTAAGTAAAACCCGAATAACACACTTCTTTCCCCAAGAATGGCGAAGGCGAACAGACGTCTCCGATGGCGACGGGGACAAGGATAATTCGGAAAGGTCGGGGGCTGGCTTGCAACGTCAATCCGGTTCGTTGCCGACAGCATGCTGAAGGCATGTCACTGGCAGCAAGTCGACGGCAGCCAAGCCGTCGGTCACATGTAGACATGATGCATGATAACATCTCCAAGGATAATTCGGAAAGGTCGGGGGCTAGCTTGTAACGTCAATCCAGCTCATTACCGGCAGCATGCTGAAGTGTCACTGGCAGCCAAGCGGTCCGTCACATGTAGACATGATGGACGATAGCATCTGCGCAAGGCGTAAACGAACTGCCAGCCAGCCTACATAGAGCAGGCACGGCATCATAAATGATGGAAACATGGAACGTTTGAACTTTGAAGAAGTTCTGTACAGCACCGACACCATCATTCTCGATGTTTCACGTAGCGTTGCCTGGATTCTGATGGAACGTTGAAGTTCGCGCCCGTAAGTTGATGCAATGTGAAGAAACGATACTTCACAGTGAAGCAGAAGGCACGTGGCATGAATTTCCGTCAAGCCACTGCCAAGCGAAGTAGGTTTACTGCAACTCGTCAGTGTACAGAGCGCATGTTGACGTCTTTTGAACTACAAAGCGACGCCAGGGAGTCCGACGCCGTTCGATGCGCCCAAACGTACATTTTACTCAAATGTCTAACTCGCAATGACCCATTCCGAACTTTGAACCACCGCTCAACAACCGATGGCAATACGTAGTACACGATAGCGTGAACATGATGAACCGTGGTTGCCGTTGAGGTGGAGGGACGCAATTGCAATACAGATGAACAAATTGGGATAAGTTGCAACAGGGCACGGATTCGGTAACGTCACGTAGGATTCAAACCAAGTTGCGCACCGCCAACTGTGCGCAGAAAGACACTGTAGAAGAACCTGATAAGTTACTGCCACCACTCCGATCGTCTGCAAGACTCAAGGTATGTATGTAGTAATTCCCTCCACCACACTCGCAGGGGTTCAGGCAAGACTCGACGTCCATGAGATGGCATAGCTCACCATCAGAAACTCAATTTTCGGACCCGACACTTGTGTATCTCCCGGAAGAAGCGAAAACATGAATTGGACTATGCATCTTCGGCTCGATGGGCCGATAGGGAACCCAAGACTATGTAGTGTGGAGAGTTCCGAGCAAGTTGCGGAGAACAAACGTTGTATGCCAGTTCATGACCTAAATTGTCGCCAGATCGTACTGCGAAGATGAACGTCGCCCAATGTCACCGTTGTGCAGGCCCACTGGGCCAGGTCTGGAACGGAGTGGGAAATTGGAGAGTCGTGTCATCCCCCCAGAGAGTCGAGAGAAATTTGATACACAAGTGGAGTTGTGTCTTGAAGTAACGTCCCGCTCCGCACTCACTCCTACCTGTCAAAGGAATTGTTTTCTTAGAAGACTTCGAAGTTGGGAATTTCACTTGGAGGGACATTGCAAACACCGGGACCTTACCGGTACCGCTGGGGTGGACTTCTTCACATAAACTCAATTGATCTTTCGACAGACAGGTTACTCAACGTCATCGAAGATCGATGGAGTTACCTTACCGACTACAATGCTCCCAATTCAAGCATCCTGACCGCGCCGAACAGCGTACCTCAATGAATAGCTAATTTGGATGCTTACAGTGGAAAAGCACATCGTCTGATCGACATCAAGTCTTTATCAGACGCTCGTACATGACTTCATATCACTCTGTATTAATGCTGACGCTGAAAAGGCTCGTCCAACCAGAAGAAACCCCTGTCCACGGGCATTGAGTATTTGATCCTCTGAAGGGAATGATCCGTAAGGATGTGGTGAATGAGACGGAAATGAATTGCAGCGAAAATACGGCGTTCTCGAATACGCGCCTAATGTGATACCGTTGAGGACGGTGGGGAATGATGGTCGATCTGTCCGCTCACCGAATCTAAACATATATATTTCAGTGCTTTGCGCCGAAGGCTTCTATGAAGGGATCCCCGAATTCTGGATGACCAGTGAGAATAAGTCAGGATATACATATGCGCGTTGTCCACCTTTTCTGAGTTGCTCTACGAGGCCCGTATCTACAAGGTCATCTTTGTCCCGACGAGGAATGTAATCGCTTCTAATTTGCCCGGATGGTCCTGGAGCCGTTGAGGGATGTTGTCCTTGATTGTCAACGGCGTGTCTCCTTGAACTGCTAGCGGCATCCTCTCGCCGGCGGGACTTGGCGTCCCTGAGAGAGGGTCCCTCATGAAATGACCCCACAGGCAAACGACGCTTGGAGGACCCGGTTGGACTTTGCATAGGGCCCACGCTGAGTGGCTGGGTGTTAATCGCGGTCAGAATGCGCTGCTGATCGCGATTGTTGACTGATGACTGGAAGTCATCTGGCGGTGGGGTACCGGCAGATGAATCGGATGAGACAGGAGAGCTTGGTTCAGGAGAGTTCATGGTGACTCAGTGCGATCTTGGAGCCTGTCACATACCATCAGCCCCCCTCAACCGGGGACGCTCAGCGCTCATCGTCTGCACGTGCTCTGCCGGACGGACACGCGGTATCTTAAACAAATAAACCCTAATAGCATCACTAACTCTCGCGAACACAATGTTGCTAGGACTCAAGCTAATGCCCTCCTTGCGCATCATTGCACTTCCCCTGGCAAAGGCGCGCCCATCTGCGCTACTCGTCAGCCGACCATTAGTTTACTATCATTTCAACCTCGCACCGCCGGGTGCGGCCGAAAGGAATAAGTCATGGACCAACAGAATGCTCAATAAACTAACAACGGTGGCGGCCGATGCCTGGGCAAATTTTGGAAAAGCACCAGAAGGGAGCTGGAAGGCTCGTGTCTCCTCTTTTTTTTTCTTTTAGGAAGCTTTGCTGTGTGAGATCCTTCAACTGACGCTTCGAAGATAGTTGCGTCTGTACCAACATGGCGAACGGCTCGTGGACCGGATTGACTTTGAAGAGCTCACACTAAAAGGTGTTGATCCGTCCCTCGCACCTTCGCTTAGAAATCGAGGTGTTGCGGGCAAACCACTAGAAGGCCTTTCGGGAAGTGATCAAAAGAGCGAAGAACGGCCGCCGGTGGTGTGTAGTATCTTTCTGCCGTCTTTTTGGCCGCCGGAAATTGATGATGCACGTCAAGATACGGCTCATATATCCACCATCTCTATACTCTAGCCTCTCTACGCCACTATCAGATGAGAGCGTGCATCCTTCGCTTTCCCATTTAAGGGTGTTATTGGACAGTCGGGGACCCCGGCATCGTAGAGGTTTCTACTTGTGGATGATGATTACACCGCTGACCTTTCCACTTACCATCATACGTGAGTTGGGCACTCAAGCCAAAATAGTGCGGTGGCTGATGCAGGCTAATTATGCAATGGCTCAGCGGTGATACCCAACATACCGTTCTTTTTCTGCGCATGGAGGTCATGGTCACATTACAAAGGTCTGCATTCTTATGGCACTCGCCAGATTGATGTCGTTGACATTGACGTGGTTCCTTTGACCTCCCCTTGCAGCGTACAAGTCTTCTCAATATCTCTCTTCCCTCATAGATCAGGGATTCGTCCATCCAGAACCAAATCAGGAACTAGATGAGGTCTACCGTTTGTTCTCTCCGTCCGCGCCCAACGCGAACAGCGCCCTATCGAACTGCTGTGAAGTGCCGTCCTCGGACAAGCGGGGAAAGCCTGAAAACGCATCGGATTGTAATCTGAAAAGCATATCTTCCTTGACCGCAGACAGTAACACGGGCCCCGTGCCGCACCACCTCTTACTCTCACGCGGGGCTGTACCTAGAATTCTCGAACTTTTCAGTCTTCCTGATTCCGCAGCGGCAGACATGTATCGTGCCATGGAGCAAGTGCGTGTCCGATTGCAAGCTGAGCCCCAATACTAAGATAGCATGTATTCACATTCTTCGCTTCACCCAAACAATTTCCCGACTAGAACGGAGGCACTTGCGATGATCTATTTCCTATCTGTGATCTTATTTTGTCCTCACGGTGGGTTGGTTGGCCAATCAGTATTGTCGGATTTGCATCGGGCATAGCCCCTTGTTCATATTGCGCGTTGGCCGCTCTATCTGGATAACTTAAACACCTTGCAGGCGATCTCCGATTCATTTTGCGATGTCACGATCGTCCTCAGGAAAGACCCTTCAAACTTACAACATACCATTGGTTGATCTGCTGGTCATACCAGAACTAGTCACAGCAGGTGTCGCTCTAAAGCAGCTCTGAAGCGCTGACCAAAGAAGATGCACGGACGCCGTCCGATATTGCGAGCTTACCAAGCTGCTGAATTTTTGGTCGCAGAATGTAATGCGTATTCTCCGGCCGCTGTTCCGCCGTCTGGGATGACTGATTGCGCAGCTTGTCACGAGATATCGAGAAGACTTGTGCGATGCAAGGGGAAGCCAAAAGGGCCCCGTCAATGTCAATGATGTCAATCTGGCGGGTGCTGAGAGAATGCAGATCTCTGTTGAGTATCACCGCCATACCGGTCCGTAATTACCCTGTGTCAGCTATCGCACTGGTTTGGCTCGAGTTCCCCGACTCACGTATGGTAGTGGTTGGGAAGATCAGTGGCACGATCAGCCTGCACAGGTGGGAACCTCTACGATGCCAGGGGGTCCTCCCGGCTACCCAGTAACGTCCTTAAATGGGAATGTGGACGCTCTCATCTGACCGTGGCGTTGGAGGCTGTCATTGGTGTAACCATTATGCTCTGAGTCCTTGCCTCGTAGGGATTAGTTTGCCATGGACTCCTGGGTGGGATGATCTTCCCCGGGTGACGATCATTTGTAGCACAACTCCAATGCATAGATTTTAGGAGCACGACACCCGAGCACCATCATCATGCGCTGGTGCCCATATCATCAATGTGGAAACTGCAGCCATCACAAGAGAGTTTGCTCCTATAGGGATTAGCTTGCCATCGACTTCTGGGTCTAATGAGGCAAAGTCATCGGTAGGCAGTTTGCCACCCAAGCTCCATAGAAGACAGGCTGGTATCCAGACTTCCTCTGGAATCTCTGCTGATGACTCTTGTTTACGGGACAACCATCGGGTTCTAGGAACAAGATGCCTGATTATGCCATAATTACGAACATCATGCCACACCACCGTTATGTGCTAGTGTTGATTGACAAAAGAAATTTATTGTCGTAAATCGTCACTGTCCACTTTATGTGGTAATCGCGTTCCACCTCGTGCGTATGTTCCACGCTACGGCGTCTCCGCAGACGTGACTGGGCCCCATGGCGCAGTGTCACCCCCGCCAAAGTCGCTTCCTGAGGACAACTACGTACTATACCGAGAAAGTTAACTTCGACTCCGAAGGCAGATCTTTCTAGTATTCGTGTATCGGGAGTACCTAGCGTAATACCCTAGAAGGATAAACTCACCAATGAGTATACACTTCGCAAGAATTGAAGCAACACCACTTACGGGATAATCTCATCCGCGGACTCACAACTATCTAATGGTTGTACCAAGGCGCGGTGATCACAAACGCAACCGTTTCTTCACCGGCGTCTGCATTTCTATATCACTATCGTCATCACCGTCGTCGTCCTGGTTATTGAAAGAGTCGAGACACGATGACGAAGATGAAGAGTGCTCGCGAGCTCGCAGAAGCAGCAAGTCTGGAGAGCTGTCTGGCAACCAAATCTCTTCATCTTGCACTTCGAAAGGATCCACTTCCCGATCGCCGATCTCCATATTCAGTATCGGAATAGGAGAAGGGTTGCGTATTAGCCCCACCCCCGCACTCCTGCTTCGCTTACCCGGACCTGATTTTGTAGGGGTAGCAGCGACAAGGGTGACCCCTTGTGCATTCATCACCCGTTTCTTGGCATTCGGAGCGAGACGATGACTTGGGATCTGGTGGCTGAGAATGTGTTGCTTTGTGATCTTCAGAACCCCTTAGCGTGGGCGCTGGACGAGGTTTGAATGTCCGAGACATGCTAACTTCGCGACTGAGTGCTCGCTTCAGTGTTGTGGAGGTGGCCGAATTTGACCTCCTTGTAGAGGCGTCTTGCGCGAGGGAGACAGAGAGCGAGCGCGAACGAGCCCCTAAATCTGAGCCAGCAGTGGTCGACGAGACGGAAGCTGACCTATGCAAATTCTGCTTTGGACCTTCCTTCTCCCTCGAGGTTTTCGAAGTGGAGGGTTTAGAAACTGGCGCTGGTGACGAGGAGCGATTGGAAGCAACGTCTGTGTTGCTTCCATAATCATCATCAGCGAACGGTGAGTGGGGAAAGACTTTGCTTCGTAGAATTTCACACATGTCTGGGAACGTAGTTTTGAATCTGGTTTGCGTCAGCCGTACAGTCGATTTTATTCGACACGGTACTCACTGCGGCTCAACGACGTCTTCGCAAAATGTCTGCATCCAGTCTCGTTCTTCTGAAGACGCGCCGTGCATTCCCTGCGAATCCATCTTGCTTATGAGTTGCCACGTCGAGAGCTTGTCCATAAACGATTCCAAACGCTCGGTCGGGGACGGCGTTACTGTAACTGATTTTTCCTTTCTGCGTTTCGCATTCTTGGCCAGCTTTGTATCGTTCCCTGTTCCCGAAGGTGGTATCGTTACAGGTGGGAGTGGTCGACACGGACCAGGCAAGGAAAGTTTCAATAGGTAGAGTAGGATTTGTATCTGCACTCTTTGTGGCGAGTTGTCAATCTCGGATTTATCGATGAATGGCACCGGTATATATACGTACTCACGACGCTCTAACCGTTCGAGCCAAGCGTTTTTCCACTTGTCCTCTATTATGACTGCATCCTCACTATTACTGCCCTGTGCACCGTTCTCTCCCTCCCCCCCTTCCCCGGCCCCAGCCTTTTCGTAATTGAGCGCATACCACATCGTGGTCTCCTCGATCTCGCCTGCTCCGCCATTATTGGCGAGTATTTGAGGGAGCTCCGTGTGATACTTGGAAGACGATGAACGGGTGGAAAGGAGGAGGGGTTCGAGCAGCGCATGTAAAGGATGCTCTGACTCGGAGGAAGATGGAGGTTCTTGTACGCGCCTCAAGGACGGAACCAAGAGAATCAGTGGCATGATGGACTTGGGAATACAGAAAAACAAGAGAAACCAGGATCAGGCAACGCATCAGGATAGATGAGCCATTGATTTACCTCGGGAAGCCAAAGAAACTGGAGATATGTTCTAACCACATACTGCTCTGGGGACTCGAGGTGGAGGTCCGTGAACGGGTAATCACGATTTATGGACTTTTCCTGTGTAGTCGTCCACTTTGCATTTGCGCTGTTAACGAGGACGAGTGGTTGTACGAAGGCCATGAATTGAAACGTCTAGCAACTGCATGCAGCCGCGTCCGTCCCGGGGACGCGATGGTGGGGCACGTGACTGATGACGCACCGTGCAAGCGCTTAATTAACGACTTTGCTTCAAGCGAGCTCACATCGTGTTAGCCAGGGCTACACACGGGACATCATGTCTACCAACAGTCTGCAGAGTCTAGCCATCATGTCGGCGGTCATGGGGACCGTGTCATACGTGGTTGGTGTTATTCCGTTGTCGATCGCATTATCTAGTACGTAGCCCCCTGCACTGCCGACTGGCAGCAGCCTCCAATAGCGTCAGATTGTTTCCTGACTCCCGGGACTCGCTCGCATTATTAAGGAAAACACCTGTCGATCCTGTCTAGCTTGGGTACGGGACTGCTCATAGGCACGGCTCTAGGCGTCGTTATACCCGAGTAAGTTCGTTCGTTTCGTGTTTGATGCTCCGGGCATACTCTGCCCCGCTGTGACCTCAATCCGACTCACACTGTGCGTGGTTGCGTGTATATAGGGGTGTCGAGGAAATTGCGAGAAGCAACTCAGATCAGACCACTTTTTCTATCCGGGTTGGCACCGCTGTCCTTGACTGGATTTATTTTTATGCTTTTCGTCGAAGAGTATTTTTCATCTCATGCGGCGACCACGCTACTACTCCCACGCCATCAAGTTCATGGGGCCGCAGCGCAGGGGGATACCTTCCAAATCGATCTGGAGGAGCTCGAGCGCGAACAGGGCATAAGCGTACCCTCTGTAGGTTCGAGACCACCACCCGCCGGCCCGCGCCACTTTGGAAGCGATGATGCATTCCGTCGTGTATTCCCGTTGTCTCTTGGTTTAGTCGTACATGCCTTGGTCGATGGGTACGCTCTGGGCGTTTCTTCCACCGCTGACGAAGGTTCCTCTGTCTTATCGTTCATCGTTTTTCTTGCAATTATCGTCCATAAAGGTCACTACACGTTTCCTCGTAGACTGGGCGTTCCGTTCTGAATATTACTGACACTCTCACTTTATATTTTTTAATAGCACCCACTGCACTTGCTCTCACGACGTCACTCCTTTCTAGATCGCTGCCTGTCATGGAATGCAAGAAACACTTGCTGGCCTTCAGTCTCGCAACACCCGTCAGCGCAATACTTTCCTACCTGTTATTCTCCTTGCCGTTCATGAACCAGAGACTCGGTCCAGGTGTTCCATTGTTATTCAGTGTAAGTTTCTTCCTCCATGTCATTTTTGAGAAAGAAAGAAAAAGGTATATAATATGGCTGATTTTTTATTAACCAGGGGGGAACTTTTCTTTATGTAGCCACCGTCTTGCAGCACACTGCTGAGCGTGCACCAGAGCCGTCACTCGCAACAGGTGGGATCAATAAGGTGGTCCGTTCTGTCATTTTGGTAGTTGGAATGTTCTTTCCCCTCGTAGTTAGCCAGCTAGTAGGACATGGGCATTAGCCAGCCCGGTCCGACTCCATATCATGTAGCTATTAGAGAATCGGACGAGCGCTAAGATATCCTAAAGTGTGATAATCTACACTGGCACTCCGACCCCGCTTATACACTAAAACACCTTCGACTTTCCATCACAGCAGCGGCGGCCGAGGATGAACAACAGCAACCCAGCAAATCTGCCCCCGCTGTCCGTCTCGATTCTGGGCGTCGAACCCTTGGACGAATTCATACGAGAGATCGCCGACTTCGTGCACCACATGATCATGACCAGACCCAACGCAGGTCCGGACGCGAGGGTCGAGGTGGAGGCCAAGGTCGGTGTGCTGAGAGACAAGGCTTCCAATCGGCTTATGCTGCCTGTACTGGTAGAAACGAGTACGTGTCTTCCCCCTCGTTCGTTCATCCGTGAATCATCATTGCGTTACACACACAGTATTGTCCCCAAATATTGATTCCGACTTGCGGTTCGAAACGAACATGTCAGCAGTCAGTCCTTGTCACTTTCTTTGTTTCATACCGAGATGGCGGGCCATCCAGTCTGATTTTAAGAGTTTATCTCTCTTCTGAGTAGGCACAGCACAAGCACTACAACACGCTTCTGAACCAGCTACAGCAAACATCCCGCGAACCTACCCATCCAAGCACGCCTCTGGAGTACAAGCATGTAAAAGTCGTAGATTCGTTTTACGCGTCTGAGAACCCTCGCGACCGCGAGAAGATAAGGGTTACCCGCGATGAGAAGACTGGGACCGCGCACGAGATCATGACGAAGATACGGTTGGGGGATCTCAATATATACTGTCCGAAGCGGGCTGCAGATTGGAGAGTCAGTGTCAATCTGGAAATTCCAGGTGTGTATGTATATATTTTCGTTGCGCATCTCGTTCTGAGCGATATATGTCTGCAGTTGCCCATCCCGTAGGAACTCCAACACATACGAGAAGGAAGGACAGGATATGTTACTCTCACGAAGAATTTAATATTGACTTGACACAAGTTACGACCACCTCGAGTTCAAACCCTTTGGTGCGCATAACTGATTTACTGTGGCGTTGGTTTTCTTGCTTATTTTTTAGCCTGAGGTCACGCACGAGTTAGAGCTGGAAATCGCCCGACCTTCTTTACTACTGTTCGCTGCTTCCAGGAGGGGGGACATGAACGCACCAGAACATGAGCGAAACGCGTTCGATGAACTGATCAGATCCTTTGTCAACAACGCCAGAATTCTTGTGAAAAATGCGTCTGATGGATGGCATTGAACTCCAAAAACTAGCATGTGCATCCTATAACAGTACAAAGATTAGAGCATCTCGTCAATCAATCTAATAAGATTAATGCATAGCAGAGCAAAGGTAGCAAGTGAGAACTGAGGAACGACCACCCATTAGCCCAATATTATTATTGTAGGGTATAATAGCTTGCGATGTTCATATGCCAACGACTTCCACCAAATCACCATCCTCCAACTCGGCATCTCCGATTTCTGTGTCGGGCTCTTGCTTCTCTCCGTCGATCTTGAGTCGCGGGTAGGGTGTCGATTTCGATCCTCTGGCTTTGGGCGGCGGATCATCGCTATAGATGTCAGGAAGACTGGCAGCCTTGAGGAAGGCCTTGACGATTGCGCCGCAACTTGTCGTAGGCCGAACGGTGAGAGTAACGTCGTCAACGACTGTCGATCGGAATATGAGTTTGAACTTGTCTCCTCCTGACGACTCAGCGTCCGAATCTGCGTGGGAATGGTCGTCGCTCGACGTTGCTCCTTCTTCAGATGCGTCGTCGGCTTGGGGTACGGGAGAGTGGGGACGTTGAAGGCGGAGGGAGCGCATATACTCGTAGGTGTTCTTGTCACATGCCTCTGTGAAACGTGTCAAAGATCATTTTTACATTCATTCAGGGGATATGTACCTAGCTCTCCCTCCGTCCAAATGCGAAGGCTGTGAGGTGTACCAGATGGAAAAACACGTTTGCCATCGTAGGTGACGACGAGATGGTCCACCTAAAATGCTATTAACATCAGCGGTTTCTTCGAAAAGCACTCGGAAGGCATCGTGCTAGCAATGTGATGTGAGTAAATGCCCGTCTATGTGACAAAATAGTACGCACTCGTTTCATTTCGCGAGTCCATGTCTGTTTCTGGGCCGCGGCGTTGAGAGGATGTGGGATCCAGTTAACTTTGAGGGTAACCATTTCAGGTCCCCCTGTTTGCTCCGCATCGGTCTTCAGCTGCGCTGCTTGTTTCTTGACCGCTTCGGCTATTTCAACTAGCTCCGGGTTCAGTACAATATTGTCAATCGAGTCGTCCGCGAGAAAGGTCGGCGAAGGCGCCCGGGGTTCCACAGCCAGCGCTTGTCTTTCAAGAACGTGTGAGTAGGGTGTCACACGTGGGAGAGATGGGCAGTACTGACCGTACGAGGTATCTTGCGTTGGCAAGCTGGTAGTCTGAGAGTTTAGGAGGAGGCGTGATTGACCTTGACCGACTTCGTTCGCGTTTCCGTTTGTTGGGGGAGCTTTCACCGGCGGCTCGCTGGGCATCGGGGTTAATGGATTCAATGATTTCTATGTCGCTGTCTTCCCCGTCGGATGATAGTCTGGATGTTAGAGCATCAGAATCTGAGTGCGCACTTCCAGTGACCAGTCGCGTATGTGTTAGTTAGAAAGCTTACGCACAATTTCGCTTGGAATGTGGTGGCGCTGACTGTCTGCCACCGGGGACGGTCGTTGCGTTTCTTCCTCTTGGAGCGTCTCGCGGGAGAAGACGATGCATCGGATGACTCGGGGTGCTCTGAATCGTCGTCGTCGTCGTCTGCTGCGTGAACGGGAGTGCTGTCTAACGGACCGTAATAAGCACTGGTGATGACTTTGAGATGTACTAATGGCTTTACTCCTTGTCAGCTGCTGCAGCTGCTTCCACTGAGCGGCTGTCCGTCCGCGGTTGCGCATGAACTGGGCATCCTCGTCCGCGGCTGATGTCAGCAACACCTTCGACGACGACGACGAGGCCACTCCGTCGACGCGATCGGCCCGGTCGTCGTCGGTTGCACGCGGTTTCAATTTTGGGACTGGACGCGGTCTCGGACGGGGCCGTGCGGACATGGCTGGGTGAGGAAGACACAGCGCGTGGGAAAATTGCCCGCCTTGGGTAGCCGTGTCACGGTCACGTCACAGTCACATCTCTCATGCTCGCATTCAAGAAGTCAAAGGCGAGACCAGGTCAGCGGGCGAGGGAAACACAGGAGGAGTCTGGCGAAGAGGGAAACGAGTCGCCGATAAACATAGCATCATCCAAGGCGAAGAACAAGGCGAAGAGGGCGAAGGCAAAGTCGAAACTCAGCTTTGGTGGCGGCGACGAGGAGGGGGATGAGACGGAGACATTTCAGTTGAAAAAGTCGAGCTTGAGTCGGAAGTTGACTCTGGGAATACATCCTGCGTACGCTCGTGGTCATCCTCAACTGAATTTATCCTGACACCGTTCGACAGCAATGCCCTACCCGATACCTTGGATCAGGCAACCATCGGTGCTCGTTCCAATGGCGCACCCGTTTATGACGCGGCACACCTGTCAGAGCTAAAGGCAAGCATGCAGTCTACGCGACCACCCATGCCCGATCACGAGGTTTACGACGTGGACGTTTCAATGGACGCGGAAGATCGTGCCATCGTGTCCCTCGACACCCCAGGTATGTTTTCCGTTGCATATGTGCACATCTTATCCTAAGTGCTTTTAGCGCCGAGCGGCGGTGTCTCGATACCTACACAATCGTATATTCAAACCGCAAAGGAGAAGCGCGAACGTCTGCGTGCAGTCGGTCCAGAGCAAGACTACATATCGCTCGCTATCACGACACGCACGGACACATATCAAGGTCCACACCCTGAGAGTCGGTTGGTGCGTGAAGAAGACGAACTAGGGGAGGGCGATGACGGTAGGTAAGGTACTCGACCAGCACCCGCGTCAGCTTGACACTTCAATATCGTAGAATACGCCCAGTACACGAGTGCTCAAGAAAGGATCGCGCTTGGCAAGAAGTCTCGAAGGATAGAAGCAAGCAAGCGAAAAGATGCCATGCAAGAAATGATTGCTGATGCGTCAGTGATTTTCATCCCTTCTCTGACGTCGTTAAATCATTGTATAGGGATGAGGATGATGAAGAGACCATCGAGTGGGAAAGAGAACAATTGCGAAGAGGTGGTTTGGATCCGTTTGCAAGAGTTGATGCAGCTCCTGAAAAGAAAGTTTATAAGCCAGCCCCTAGTGCGTTAACCGTCCAAATATACCTTTCCCGTGTTCACTGCTTCGTCAGTCCCTCCACCGACAAACCTACCTGAGCTGGGTCCGGCTCTCGAACGTCTTGCCCAGTCCCTTGCGGCACTAAAAACCTCTCACGCCTCCAACACGAACGCAGTAGCCTCGTTTTCCGAAGAGGAAGAACAGTTGGATACTCGAGAAACGGAACTGCGTGACATGGTTGCGCAAGCTGAAACCAAGAGGAGTTGGTTCGCTGAGTTCAAAGAACGGATGGAAAGCGTAGCCACGTTTCTCGATGAAAAGGTACGTTGAAAGTTTGTTATGACCTTGAAGTTGGGGCTGACCACATCCAGTATCCTGAGCTCGAACGACTGGAAAGCGAACATATTTTTATTCTAAAGAAGCGCGCAGGGATGATTGCGCGGAGACGCAAGGAAGATGATGAGGACGATCTTTCTGTCGTATTTGGCTCCCCCGCACAACGTGAGCCCCCACCGGACGAATTCGATGAGCTGGGTCGCGATGTGCCCCGAGCCGATCCTGTCGCGCTCAGGAAGGTCAGAAGGGTTGCACGAGTTGCACGACGTCATCGCCGTCAGTCTCGGAATGCAGTGTCAGAAGCGGACTGGGAGGAAGAAGGATATTCAACTGACTCCTCCCTTCCCCCGTCCGATGCCCAAGACTATCGAGCTGCCATTCAAAGGATCACTACTGGCGGGGAAGAGCTTCTCTCTGACGTGGCTGCAGCCGAGTTCAAGGACCCTAGTCTAGGGCTCGCTAAATGGTTCGGTGAGTGGCGAAGTCGTTATGGTGATAGTTACACGGGTGCATGGGGCGGCCTTGGTCTTGTCGGCGCATGGGAGTTTTGGGTACGTCTAGAACTGCTAGGATGGGACCCATTAGATGTGAGTGTTGCCTGTCATTAGTTTGGGGCTCCCTGCGCTCATCGTCCGTCAAAGTCATCTGATAACCTCGACGATTTCTCCTGGTACTCGTCGCTGCACGAGTATTCCCAATCGTCGTACGATGAAGATGAAAACGCAGAATTCTTGGAGCCACCTCCAGATGGTGATCTAGTATCAGCTATGATCTCTACTGCGCTTGTTCCTCGTCTCTGCAAGATGCTTGAGAGCGGAGGATTTGATCCTTATTCTGTCCATGATGTCAGAAGAACTATCGACGTCGCTGAACAAGTGGAAGCTTCCATTGGACCAGACCACCACAAGTTTTTGGTCCGGTGTCATTCACCCATGCATCGAGAGAAATCGGTTTACCTGATTGTCTCCTGTCTCAGATGATCCTCAAGTCAGTGCATGGCGTATTCGAGAACGCCACGATCGCTGCAGAAGCCCTCCTGTCACCGTTCCTTCGATTTAACCGCCCACTATTCGACCCGGAGGCAATTGCGGCTCGCAACCGGTTACTTGCTAGGGCATCCAAGCTCTTCGACGTGATGCTACGCTGGCGGAAATTTACAGGGGACAAGCTTGGTACCGGCCAGGTCTGTGTGCGACTTATTAAGAACTACGTGCTTCCGATCGCGCGGAGTGGATGGGAAGTTGGAGGTGAGGAGAAGACACGCCAGGTGAGTATTCTGAATAACTCATAAGTTAAGTTCATTTAACATCCTTAATTTTTCCCTTGTTATGTTGCGCCCTCTCAGATGGTAGCTGCGTTGCCCCAGGATCTGGCGGCCTCAGTGAACCTCTGATGCGGTGGCCATTTCATTGGTTGTCTGTGTTGTTCCTGTTGTAGACTTTACACCACTGAATGATTATTTGCATGAAGTATGTATTGTTCCTTTCTCATCTCACCTGTTGGTCCACAAAACAATCCGAGCACGCCAGCCGAGGCGTGATTACCCTTCAGCTCAAGGTGATAATGCAAATGGGAACAAAGATGTTCCCATTTTCTCTCTACATTATCACCTTTCGGCGACCTCGGGGAAATTGATATTGCGAAGCCTTCTGAGACCCTCGCCCCAGCGGGTGTTAGTTCACACGCATGTACTTATCATGTGTGTAGGCAACCCCTGTAGAGTAAGAGGTGCGCGTGTGGTTCGTTCGGCTGTCGGACAAACTTGTCCTCTCAGTCTGGTCGGATGGAATTGTAGGGCCGGGTATATTCACCCTCGAGGAGTCTAGTGTGTACATAGCAGTTTCATGAGCATACCTACTCGTTGATCGCGCAAATATCATAGACATTGAAAGGATCGATTTGGTAGGGAACGTACGAAGAATGCGTGAACGCCGTGCGTAAAGTATTAGACCTCTAGTCAGATGCGATAGAACATGTAGGCTACGTGATGACCCACGTAGACCTACGCCTGGTAGGTGGACTGAGCTGTTTTGTGGTCCAGTTTACGCTGCCTTCTGGCGTACGAATGTGACATTCACCTAGGTTGGGCCGCGGTATGTAACCTAGAAGGATTTGGTGCATTGATGAATGACAGCACAACATTCGCTCGTGAGCACTTCCAGATTAGTTCCCTCAACAGAGCAACCACATTTTCACTCGCCTGCGACGGCCTGACCCAACCACAAAGATAAAGTGAGCATCAGAAGACCTTCGGTGTAACAGAAGGGGGGTGACTCGGATATGCATACCAAGCTCACACTTTGCAACTTTCGGACAATTACCTCGAAAAACGTTACTGTCACCAAATACTATGTTTGAGAAAATAGCGACTCCGTAACAGTAGCTAGAACGCCATAGGTTAGGGAATACCGTTAAGAAGTGTGGACTGTATATGTGTAAGTGCACACTTACCACTAACATGCCACTCACACTATTGACATTACTCATGCTAACACATCACACTATCACACTTTTGGAGGATGACATACTGCAGGATTGTCAAGTCTATGGAGAGGAATATACTCAGACTTCAAGTTGGTTGAAGCTAAACAATGAACTACCTATGGAGAGGAATATACTGTAGGTAGGTAAGTAAGTGTTCCAATATAATGAATGGAAGGAGTCCCACCTCAGACTTCAAGTTGGTTGAAGCTGAGGTGCAGTAAGGAAAAAATAAACTGCTAAGTGTCCGCTTTTGGATTACATAATGCTGTGCTCAGTGAACCACAACTAAGGTAAAGGTGATAAACTCCAACACACACCTCCTATTGCACTTTCGTCCAGGCATGCAGATCCCTCCTGTGTTGCACTGTTTGGACTCTGAGGGTATATATACTGGTGCTGTCTGTGTCCATGGGATATATCTCTCTTTCTTCCCTTTCTCTCTCTGTCCATCATCTTGTATCTGTTATGCCCGAGCGTGGTGACTTCTTCAAATGGAATAGGCACGAAGCGCGCGAGGTGGGAGTCTACGGGCCAAACGTATTGTAACCCCTATGGCTGAGTTATTGCAAAGATCCGACAGAGGTCTTGTCTGCTGGCAAGTCCCTAAGGTTGTTTGCGCGGAGAGAGGACAAGGATCGAAGCAAAGTAATTAGCTCAGTTGCAAGCTATCGAAAAACTGAGGATACAAGCTATGGTATGTGAGTTTATATACCCCTAAGTATGAGTACCGTACCAGTCATGACGGACGTGTCGCGATGCATATCCGCAGTAATCAACAAACTGATCAGTGAAATAAATATGAGTCACCTGGTGTCAGAGATGGGGGTAGGGATGGAAACGAAGGCTATACTGGCTGCGCAATCAATGCGCAGCAGGGAGCCAGACACCGGAACTAGAATACAACATATAAGCAATAAACGGGAGTCAGAAAGAGTCATTGGGGCATGAAGAAAGCATCTTGTCAATCAGGAGAGCGGTGAATGCCACGGATCACAAATGATGAGTCTCGACAGGTATTGGAAATACCTGGACAATGGGAGATCCGAGGTGTCCCTGTAACATATGCACTCCTAACACGACGATGAGTACCAGTGACGTGATGAGGCACGTGATGCATGTGACCGTGAGAAGTCGAAAAAGGTAAGACCCCTGACGGAAGCGTAACATCACCCCCCTGCTTGTTATGCTTCCGTCAGGGGTCTTGCCTTTTTCAACTTCTCGCGGTCATGTGCGTCACGTGCCTCGTCGCGTTGCTGGTGTTGGTCGTTGTGTTAGGAGTGCAGATGCTACGGGAACGCCTCGGATCTCCCGCTGTCCAGGTATTTCCAATACCTGTCGAGACTCATCACTTGTGATCCATGATGTTCACCGCTCTCCTAATTTCATATGCTCTCTTTATGATCCGAGGACTCTCTTTGACTCCCTTTGCTGTTCATATGTTAGTTTCTAGCTCCGGTGTCTGGCTCCTCGCTGTGCATTGATTGCGCAGCTGGTATAGCCTTCGTTTCCTTACCAACCCTCGTCTTTGATACCGGGTGACTCTTATTTATTTCAGTGATTAGTTTGTTGACTACTGCAGATACGCGTCGCGACTAGTATGGTACTCGCACCTATGGGTATATAAACTCACGTACCATAGCTTGTATCCTCAGTTTTTCGATAGCTTGCAACTGAGCTAATTACTTTGCTTCGATCCTTGTCCTCTCTCCGCGCGAACAACCTTAGGGACTCGCCAGCAGACAAGACCTCTGTCGGATCTTCGCAATAACTCAGCCATAGGGGTTACAATACGTTTGGCCCATAGACTCCCACCTCACGCGCTTCGTGCCTATTCCATTTGAAGAAGTCACCACACTCGGGCATAACAAAATCGAAAAACTCAGTGTGCAGCTTTCGGGACTTGTTGACCTCTTCGCGAAAGTCTACTCGTCCCTGGTTACTGAACTTCAACAAACCAAAAACCTTCTACCGAAAGAAAGGCTCGTCGGTCTCCCTACGCGTAAAGACTAACTCGCCTTCCATACTTCTCCACTCGACCCCAATAAAGGTCGATAACAAAATTGAGAAGCACCCCTCCACCCTTAATCAAATCCACCGCTCTACAGGCAGCCACTAGGCTTTAATAGATCGCCTCCCTAGAGCCAGCGCTTGTCGGTCCCTACGTGTAAATCGACTCGCGCACTGCCCTTCTACGCTGACAGGTTTCTTTCGAGAAATAAATCCTCCCTCAGCCTTTGTTGTCACTATCTGTCAAAGTGTCAAATCCTTCAAAGTCGAGACCTCCTGTCCCTCCGTGCAATACCCCGTTAGGGCTAGGAAGGAACCCGCCTTTACCGCCAATACCAGGGAAACTTGGGCCGTCAGCCACAGCAAGTAATCCCCAGTTATCATATTTGACCCATTTTAGGGAATCGGAAGTTGCGCTTAGTTCAGAAGAAGAAGACGATCAGAAGTCCGAGACTTCTTTCGGATCAGTCCTCAAGGAAGAACAGGAAGCACGCAAATCCCCCATCATGTCCATGACCCTCAGTCATGGAGAATCAGCTCCAGAAATGCCCCCTAAGGTATATACGGAGGAGGAGCTGAAGGAGAAGCTGGATGAACGGATGCACTCTTTGGCCGCAGACTGGCGCAAGATAGCTGGTGTGGGACAGTCAAGTGATCCCTTCCCAACAGGAACACCTACGGACTTGGCTCTACGAGCTTGGTATGCCAGGAACTTCGGAAAGGTAATTCCCCCAGAGGTCCCTGCTAGTGGGTCCAGTAAGGGTAAGACCCCACCTGGAGAAGGCGATGACTCGTATGATGTCCGCCCACCCAATGGAGGTAGGGAATTTAATGTCGGGCGTCCCGGAGAATATGACGGAAGCCACAATGGGCTTCAAACTTGGGTCACTCAAGTCGAAGGTTATCTCAACCTTAACAAACACATCTATAACATGGAATCGCTCAAGATTTCCTTTGCCCTCACGTATATGACGAAAGGAGCTGCCGTGTCATTTGCCGAGAACTACCAAAACAAGAATAAGCTTATAGATGGAACTATCTGGTATTCCGACACCTTCCAGAGGTTTGTCAAATGTCTTAAAGCTACATTCGAATCCGGCGATCAAACTGCTCTCACAATCTTATGGCTCTCTGATATCTCTCAAGGCAAAAGGGAACTTGAGGCATATATTGCTGAGTTTACCGGACTTGTCAACAAGGCCCAGTTAAAAGAAGAGTCATGCGAAGCAGGGATCTTCTTCAGGAAGGGACTCAACAAGGAGTATCGCGAATGGGTTCTTAATTCGGGACGCACCCCTTCCACAGTCATTGAGTGGATCCAGTGCGCGGGAGAAGCTAGAACCGTGATCGCGACCAAACATATCCTTGAAGGAAAGGAATCCCAGTATGAGCGAAAGTTTATCCACTATTGCGGAAATTCCCAAGACCCTGATGCGATGGACATTGACAAAAGAAGGCGAAACGTACGCCGATCAAACCCTGACGTCACTTGCTTCGAATGTGGAGCAAAGGGTCACTTCAAACATGACTGCAAATCCCAGAAACCCAAGACCTTACCTGGAGTTCGGGTTGTTCTTTCCCCCGATGGATCGAAAACCACTTACGTAGGAGATTGTCTGGCAACAGACGACGAAATAAAGGTGCATGGGATAAATTTTTAAATGGGACTGCAGAAACTCCTAATGTGGGTCCCGTCTCGATGTTATCCGCTGTCTGTACTACTACCATAGATGATGAATTGAATATGAGAATTGGTTCTCCTTTGGGAAGAGTATGGTTACTGGATTACAGCGCAGGAGTAATGGTCTGCATCGACTCAGGTGCAGAGGTTTTGCTCATCTCGGAGCGAATTGTCCAAAAGTTGAAGATTCCGACATACCGCATCAAGAATCGCTTCAAAACCACTTCGTTTACTGGAAAAGACATCGAATGGATAACTCAGAAGGTCATGATACGGCTCATCATCAAAAATCGAGTAATACGGATCAAGTGTTACATCG